TGCAGTGCACACCAATACTTACATGCTACATGATCAACTGTTTCTGATCCTTTCCACACATTTTCTTTCACAATTCAATCGCATTACCAGTACTAAAGTTTATCTTTAATCTGTCGTCGTCTAACTATTAATTGCCATCCGATGATCCGATAGAGTACTGTCGATGGGATATCATCTTTGAACTTCAAGGCATTTTGCGACGGTATTCTCTTGCTATATTTATTTCGATGTTTTTCCTGAGGTTGGAGATACTTGTCAACGCGATTTGTTAGCATTGAAGGCTTTGAAGCATTCATCATCAGACGGTTGAAACGCCATCTGATGGAGTTACGCATGACATATTATTTGGGTAAAGAGCGGCACGAGCGAGTTCACCTTTACATCGTCTCAAATCTCCAAGCAACCGCGTTTTTTCCAGATCTCAACATATAGTAACCAAACATTCTCCTGAAAATAAACGTTTTTTCTCTGAGATGCGAGAAAGCAGTGAAACTCAAAATGGGTATGGAGATGAGGGAGAGGGAAGGGGAGGGGGCAGCTAGAGACTGCTTCTTCTCATACGCAACAGTGGGCAACACAATGGTGATCGATTTGTCTGTGGGATGAGGTGAAAGTGGATCGAAAAACACACTTCAGGTGTTTCATCGCGGTTATTGGATCGCATCTAATACCTAATAATTTATGGTTTTAATTGCATTTGCTTTCAAGTAGGGCTGTTTCTCTTTGTCAGCATAATGAATATTGGTTTAAAAGAAACGCATATATATATATATAGAACCATACTCGTATGTTTACATATGCCAATCATAATTTTAAACCCTGTTTTTTCGTGCTTTCCTTTTTTTCTATTCTGTTTCCTCTTTTTCTAAGAGACGTTAATTTTATTATTTTTCTCCACGTCTTCTCACTTTGTATTCCTCGTTTCCTTTCTTTTATTTTTTTTCCTCATCCTATAGGCCTCCTCCTACTCAATTATTTTAATTGTTCTTCTTTTTTTCTAATATCTTCTATTGCTTTTTCTTCTTCCATTATACCGTCCTGAACAACTTATTTATATGATTTTTTTTTCTTCTTTCTTCCAGTTCCACTTTGAATAAATTCCTTTAATCTTCTCAACAATATACACGTACGATATCATTATATTGATTTCTCAAATATTTCGAAAAGAATCATATAGGCCTGATATCAAAAATCTTTGTGATAGCTCTATAAATGCTACTCCCAAAACAAAAATCATTTTGATAGCATTCGAATTTATATGGCCAAATCGACATAACAATAAGCAAGCAAGTGATTTCGGTCAATGCGAACAGCTCTTGAAACAAATAGGAGCCAGTGAGAGTATAACATGGTTGCGTTCTTTTCAATAATGTTTGTTGTTCTATTTCTATTGAGTGCTGTGATTTATATTCCCATCTCACCATCGATTGTTTCCGTCACGTCCTACGCCTGACACACTTCAGAATGTCAATACAAGTACGCTTATGTAAGCAGTGGCATATACATGGGTCAAGTCATTAAGGGGCACCGGGGTCTAAGTGGGAGGGGGCATCATTGGGCTAACAAAAAAAAAAATATGTTGTATTGCCCTTTAGGTGCAAAAACATGGGTCGGTCGGTCAGAATTTTTTGTTTATTTTTTAATTTTAAACTATTTTTTTTCCTTCCTCTTTGAGCTGATATTTCTCTGTTTTGAACGATTTAATATTTTTGTTCTCTAAAAAACGGTTTTAAAAAAAACGCCGACCGTAGATTTCAAGATTTGGGGGTCGGTCGCAAAGGGCGATACAACATTTTTTGTTTAAGCCTAGTGGATGGGATGAGAGAGGACACGGTCATAGAAAGGGGCGGTATGGAAGGGGTGGTATTATCTTATATTCATGTTGATTTCGAACCCCTCTCTTTTTCTTTCTTTTCTTTTAAAAAATGTTGTGTCTTTTTGTTATTATTGTGTCCCGGGACACGTGCCCCTCGATCATGTCACCCCGGGGCTTCGCCACCGTGCCCGGGTATCTATTGTGGGCATTCTCTTAATCAGTTTTATATAATTATGAAGGAAGGTGGGAAAGTCGGATGTGGAAGTAAGTGCTCACCGTGGATTGGTGATTGATTTGTAAGATGCATATTTGGATCGCTGATGCATGATTCGGAGGGGGGGGGGGTATACGCTCAGGACAGATCCAGAATTGTCAGAATAAATGGATTGACGAATAATAAATCATGAATCTGGATTTATTTAACGCTTGATGTCTCTGAGCGCTTTACAGATTATTATTACCACTGTTGGATTAACTCATGCATAATAGTGTTAATTATGTTATTTTATTTTACCGTTACATGCCGTACATGGTTGTTATTTTCTTTATGTCACAAAGTTCAACATACATGCAATCATTCTATAAGTTATTATGCTTGATGAATGAACTTGAATTATGTTATTTTATTTTACCGTCACATGCCGTACATGATTGTTACTTTCTTCATGCCACAAAGTTAAATATACCTGGGGAGTGTTGCTACCGTATGGTCACCGCAAATGCATAATGGCAATTACTATCACAAAGGCTTCGTCATGCTACCATGCAGGTCACCACTTCTCTCCTGGGTATGGAGTGGCAAATCTAGATTAATGTCTAGCCAAAGGACACTAGTCGAGATCGAACCCACGACCTTTGCATTTCCAGTCAAGTGCTCAAACATCTCAATCACTTAATCTCTCTCTTGAACTCTCCTGGTCGGGGTCGCCTCTTTTCCCCCTCTTTCTACCAATCTCTCTCAGTCTCCTATTCCTTTTTCTCTGTATACCTTTCCTCATTCCTTCTTCCCCATTTCTCTATCTCTCTGTCTGTCTCCCTGCCTATCTGTCTCTCTATATCTTACACACACACCACTGGCCAACATATGTATCTTTTAAATGGTATTTACCGTGGGAGTCTTGCACAATCCATTCAAATTTTCATCTTGAATAAAATGCCCGTGTTTAAACTACACAGTGCGACCCAGAAAAAACGAAACCGAGAATTATCGATGTTTTATCATAACTTAATCACAATTATAATTAATAAATGACACATACCTGTAAAGCTTAGATCCTCCTCTTTCATTTGATGAACTCATATGATGCATATTTGACAGATGGAAACCAAAAAGTCATTTGGCGGGCAGTATCTGAATTTCGAAGAAAAATTCACATTTCTAGAAAGTTCAGTTTCTGTCCTTTCATATGACACCTCAATCGGGAAAAATGAGCAAGGAATAACAAAGTTTTGTTCGTTTAAAGTGATGCTTGCATTTCCATGATTTGATTTTAAAAGTTCGTTTTTACTGGCTGCCTGCCGTAGCAACAAGCAGAATTGACAAAAGACTAAACTCTGTTTCATTGACAATCAGCCATGCATGAAGTCTTTCGTCTATGTCTCATCGTCAACGAAACGAAGTTAAGTCTTTTGTCAATTCTGTTTGTTGCTACGACAGGCAGCCAGTGAAAACAAACTTTTTAAAACAAATTATGGAAATGCAAGCATCACTTTAAACGGTTTCGTTCTTTTCTGGGTCGCACTATATATCTCTCATATTTTAAAGTTGTTATTTTGTGGAGATTAAATGGATACATATATTATAATGGACAGTAACAATGCGCCTTATATACATAGCTTAATATTGTATTTAAAAAATGAAACAAAAAACAGCTAATGAGTTTAGAGCATATAATTTCAATTATTCAATCATTTAAATTACAATAGTAAAAAATTTAAAAGTACAAACAATATATAATATATCCCATTTCAATATATTTCTATTTCTTTGTAATAAATTACATACAATTTATCTATTTTTCTTTGAAAATTCAAACAATAATGTAATCATGCAAGGCTTATGTCAATCCTAAAATATAAAATAGTAACAATACTGTAAATATGGCTGCAACACAAATATAAACATGTCTCCTAAAATCTCATCAGTAATTACAGACCATTCACTGACATACGGACATCTACATTTCAACAAACATACAATATGATGTAGCCCATTTCATTGTCATGAAGCAAAAAATGTACTAAATAATATGAAAGGAGACAAAATTGCAAAATATAATCATTAGATATCATTTGAAGGATGAAAAAAAAAAAAAAAAAGAAAAGAAATGCAGAAATATTGGAACTGTTAGCCCCAAATAGGTAAATATCAAGAGTATAATGCCATTACATCTGAAGAAGAATATAAGAGTATTGTCTAGCATACAAAAGGCATACAAAGGTAAATCGATGCCCTTTTGGCTCATAGCAGACAAATCAAATTTATACAGCATTCAATCACAAAGTATGAATATCTCTTGAAGGAAATTTAGGACAAGGTACATACTTTGTGCTATCACTAAATGCAAAATTAATTCCCTGAATTCGTTTTGTTTAAATGAGGTATTAGGACAGCATTTTAGAAACACTATTTTTCTTTCAAATATTGATTTTTTTTTCCTCCATTATTTCAGTTCAAATACAATATTTGGTATTATTCAATAGAATAAAAACTACAGTACTATAAACACAATACTAAGAAAAAAATACAAAAATACATTTTGCTGATGTTTATACCAAGAAGAAAGGAACACAATTCCTATAAGAAGCTATTAATTTCATTGTCTTACGTTTAAATACTTTTTTTTTTAATGAATGACAGCAAGGCTCACACTTCAAGCTCTACTGGTTTATAAGTTTTCAACAAGGTTTTGTTTTAAGTTGGCCATCCACATGAACCAATGAAGAACCATGTATGTGAATATGAAAAGGAAGATATCATAACTATTGAAGCAACATCACTCCCACAATATATTTCACCTTGATTCTTGATAGATTTAATTAGAACCAATCAAAAGTGTCTTTGCTGAAGAACCCCTTGGATCCTAAGACAAGATTTATCCTCATTGGCTTAGTTGTCTTTGGTTAGTAATTTCCATCCAATCAAAAGCTTTCTTCTCTGATGAAGTAATTTTTCATACAAGATTCATCCTGATTGGCAGAGGGGTGTTTTTTCAGTCATTTCCATCCAATCATAAACCTTCTTCTCTGATGAAGTCCTTTTATCAGCCATAGAACCCATGGCACCACTGAACAGATCAAACACTCCTCCTGTCAGAGCAAAACAGAGAAATATCAAGAGTGAATTCATTCTGCAAAATCTACCATCAATAGATTTAAATTTTATGCATAATATTTAAACAAAAGTTGTTCTTGACAGCCTGAAAGCATGCCAAAGGCTTGCCCTACATAGCAAAAAGTAATATATGCAGGCTAGATTCCAAATATTGTAGTTCATTTATTAATAACAGTTCATGGAATAACCCGTCACTAGGTCCCCAGGAAAGACACATCCTTATATTTGACAAAATGAAGCCTGGAGAGAATGTCTCCTGAGCAACTGTCGTATTTACCTGTATGAATGAAGAGAATCTTGGATCCTTGGAATCTGTCTGGTTCCTCCTTCATCAGACGCATGAGGTGAAAGGTTGCCTTACCAGTATAGACTGGGTCAACAAAGATACCAGTGGTCCTGGCTACTTGGTTAATGCATTCAAGTTCTTCAGGCTGAGATAAACCATACCCGAGCCCTCTGACCCCTTCCACGACATCTACAATGTCCTCTGACCTGACCCCTGATGACCCTTGACCTTCCTGCATGCCAAGTTCACGTAAAACCTTGTTGATTTCTCCATGAAAATATTTTGCGTCATCACATATTGCCATTCCATGAATCCTGTAAGAATAGAATAAGATGGAATGAAAATGGACCATGTCACACAAAAACAATATAAACACACTGTTAATTAATAGAAGTGCCAAGAAGTATAACTCCCGGGGTCCAAAACACAAGATGTTTATTTATTAAAGTCATTTATACCAGTATTCATGCTGGTCCTTCCTTTATTTCCTGCCAACTAAATGACTGCAATTCACCCTGTTTATATCACCTGGTGCTATGTTCGTCTAGTCTTGGGCAATTTTGTGGTATCAGGAGTACCAATTCATGATCCTGGATATTAAAGCTCATGGAACAAACCTGAGTTTGCTTCCTGTCAGATAGTTGCCGATTGCAAGACCAGCTAGTGATCCACTGCTGCCTGATGTTATGACAATATCGCTGAACCTCTCCTGAACATCCTACAATCACATGACAAAAGTGAATCACAATTATAGTTTGCATTAGTTGTAATAATAATACTTTGTTCTTTCATAGCGATTTCATGTCTGTTGAAATGTCAATGCGCTTTACAATATATATATATATATATATGTATATATATATATAAAAAGTAGTTGTCATTTTAGGGGGTTATAATGGCTTGTTTGTTTTAAAAAAATATGAATTTCTTCATTATTTTCAAATGTCTCTTCCTTTTAAGCCCCACCTTACTACGCATAGGTACTTGCTCCCTCTATATAGACAACAATGCCTAAGCGGTGCCTGTTGGTCCCACATGATCCTCTTTTTCTTATGTTAATTGAGAGCTGAGTTGATGAGATAGCCACCTGTCAGTGACCACGCTTGGTGGTCTAATCCCTCTTGGCCAAACTAGTGCAAATGGGCTTTAATATCACATCCAGCTCACTTGGCTATTGAGGGTTATCATCCCAATTTAATTCAAGGACATTATCAAATTGACTTTAAGTCATCTAAGAGGGCAACATACAAGCATATTAGCAAGAAAGATTAATCTAGACAGTGTATAATCATAACAAATTCCTTTGATACCATTGATAATGGCATTAATAGGGAGAGAGCATCGATTACTAATATGAGACAGAAACAAAAGTTTTAAAAATAACAACAACAACAAAACCCCACAAAATTATATTCAATTAGAAATGCTACTGGATAGTAGCCTAGTACTCCTAGTGAACTTCAAAAACTGAATGAAATTGTGTTTTATTAAACATACTTCTATATTGATCAACCATCGATCTAGCTCTTTAACAAAGTGTGGTAAATCATTCAAGAATTCAGCTGCAGCAAGCTAAAGTAGACAACATATATCGCTGTAAATAAACATGACCTACAGTAACTTTTAGAAACAAGTATAATAGAGTTTGTGTAAGTAAGGAATAAGAGACATGCCAAAACTCTGAGCTATGTTGAGAGCTATTTTGAAAGTATTTTGCTAAATACCTGCTGGAGGAGTTCTCTGAAGCATTCCAGGTATCCAAAGACTCCTACTGAGTTAGATCCACCTATTGGGATTGGGTAGGCTTTCTTTCCTAGAGAATCTCTAAAAACAGAAAAGAAAGAAGGCAAATATTTTCTCTCTTGCAATGTTACTGGCATTCTTATTTTCTATAAAGGTGAATAATGGCATCACCAAACATTAACAACTTAGTTAATGTAAGAAATCAGCAGACACTCACTGATAGCTGAAAATAACTTCAAGCCATTGAGTATAGTCTGAATTAAGTGCAAGTAAATTATATATTCCCCTCCATATGCCCCTCCTCTGTTTCTCCTCTAGAAATATTTTTGGCAACATTTTCAGAAGCTTACTCTTACACAGTCCCATCATATATCCCGCATAATTCAAAGCTCAATTCACTTCAGATAAGAAGTTTAAACAAATTGAGTCATCATCACTTGCCTTAGATACTCTACAAGCTGTTGCATTCTGGGATAGATGTGTGAGTTGTACTGAGATTTCTTGGGTATGAGATAGAAACTACATCCAACCATACTGTCTAACAATGTGTTGCCTGTGAATGATCCATCTAGGTTCTGTGGTAAAATTTGAGAGAGATAGGGAGAGAGAAGAAACAGAAAGAAGCAATATACTACGTAATTCAACTGGAGATACCCAGACATGTATCCTTAATCTTGAATCAAATCAAATCAAAATAACCAAAACTAAGGGTGATAAGTCAGAACAACGGTGCTTTATTTGTCTTTTTGTGATAACCAAATGGAATCTAAAGCAAAATGACAACTTTGACAAATGTAGTTGGTATATCTTCTTCTTATAAAAAGAAATAAAACAAATATAACATTCTACATGATTAGGATGTGAGATCATCAATGTTGTACTGGGGGATACAGAGTAAAAGAGTTAAGAGTGAACCCTTTATATGCCTCTTTCCAGTAAGGCGAGGCGTCAAAAATATCGATACCAGCAGGCTGCCGCCTCACGTATTGGCGCATCGAGGCTGCAATTACGGCCGAAGCCTGGCTGGGGCAATTATTTTGCACTTATTAGCCCAGCCGGCTTGCGCCAGGCTGGGATCTGAGGCTCGGTTTCCATTCGAAAGGCGGCAGCCGGCGCATGCTTTTGTTCGGAGACCATTATGATGACATCATGAGTTAATTGAGGGTCCTACCGCCAGCGGTAGCCGGCTGAGCTAATTTAAAAAATGCAGCCAGGACGCACAAGTGCAGTTAGCTGCCGCTGGCTGGTATATTTATTTTTGACGCCTCGCCTAAATACATGTATTTTTGTGTAGTTGGGAAAATAACCCTGGGAACCAAGCTTTAATGTCACCTTCAAATAGACACAACTTGGTTTCAACAAGGGTTGTAAGAGTCTGTTTAAAGGCAAAAGCAACTAGATCAGGCAACGATTTCATTTCTTGATGTTTTGTTTCTACTCACTGTTGCCTCTGATCTGAGAAGAAGATGGCAGTCCATACCAAGTTGTCTGGTTGCTACGGCTGTGGTTCTACAGTGGTTGGATCTTACTCCTCCACAAGTTATCACTGTATCACAACCCTGGCTTACTGCGTCTGCTAACAAGAATTCAAGCTTACGAATCTACAGAGAGAAGAAAAGGGCATTCATAATCAACATCTATTATAGTTCTTTTTAAACTATATTAAAATAAATGAGAATGTATTGCTTTCAAGAACATTATTCTCATGGTTTTCCTTATTCTTCCCCCTTCTCTCTCTCTCTCTCTCTCTCTCTCTCTCCCTCTCTCTATCACTCTCCATTACTTTCTCTTTCTGTCTCTCCTAGCACTTACTGTCTTTCCAAGTCTGTCTGTTTGTCTCTCACTCTCTCCCTCCCTCTATCTCTTTCTTTCTCTTCATCTTCTCTCCTTCCTTAGAGGTCTCTCTGCTTTTGTATTCATCCAATCTTATCAACTGTCACAATAAACGCATGATACACATTTAACTATAACTACTACAGATCAACGTCAAAAACGATAATTAGTCAACATCCACTTTAGCCTCAAACTAATGAAACATCCGAAATCAAAATATGGGCAAAGAGCAAGTCATTGCAAAAATGAATAGATAAATACAGCTAGATGGTATTATTCTCTCTTAGCTCTTGATCATTGTGGCATATCTTCTAATAGCACTTTTTTGGCATGATATAAGGCAAGAAATTGTAAGTGTTTTGTAAAAATCTAATATAGTAATACAAATTGTACGATATCAGCATCATCACAAAAAATATGTAGCATGTGCGAACCTTATTTCCTGACAATGAGCTGCCTGTCATGTCATCTCTCTTGATGAAAACGTCAAAGTTTGCTGGTGTTCCAGGAAGATTCCATCTGTGTATGGGATTGTTCAGCATGGCAAGCTAGTAAGGGAGAAATAAGAAATAACCCTTTTGAGTAAAGCAGATATTGTTCACATGAAATAGGTAGTAAATTATAAATGTTCAAATCAGAATCAATAATCTTAAGACAGTTAGAGAGGAGTTGTCTTCAATCAAAACACTTTTTCAAGGTCAGTTTGACTCATAGTTATCAGCACTTGATTTAGACCAATCACTCACAATAATATAAGACATAGAATACCCTTTCATATAAACTACACTACAAGCATTATCAACAAATATTGTGTTGAAACAAATAATATTCCAACTGTTGGGTCCTGGAAGTAAGATGTACATTGTAGTTTTAATCAACAAAAAATCATCATTCTTTCTAAAATATTTTTTAGGAACATTGCAATCTGTATGTTGAAGGGTTCTTATAATAACAAATAAATGGATATGATCATTAGTGACGTACAGTTATCAAAATCATGATTTACTTCAAATATTCAATTATTAGATGCATTGTATTGCACTGAAGATTGAAGAATATAAATCAGACACACACAACAACAAAATACTAACACAAATGACAGATGTGAGTAGAATGCTTTTGAAAGAAAAAAAAATGAGAATAGACTAGGTTTACATCTACCAAAGATGAAATTTACTTGTCCATCCATTAAATTGCCTGGAATACACTATGAAGTAATGTAATTACTAATTAGTTGTCATTGCTATGAAAAGGTGAAGGGCATTTTAAATATTTTTTTTGCAAAAATAATTAGGGTCTAGTCTTTATTAAGATAAAATCATACTCACAGTCTTTCAAATTTCAGGCACAATACAATTACAAACTAGTTGAAGAAAGGACAACTTTTACACAATTCCATTTCATCATAGATTCTAGACAATAATTGTACTTGTAAAACTAGTAAAAGCACAGACTTCATATTTCATAATTGAATTCATAAAGATTGTGCAACATTCATGAAATGTGCAGGACTGACAACTCATTTTCATTTTCCTCTTTGAAAAAATGAAAGTTCGATATTGAAGTTTGAAAAAAATCTACTTTACTTGCACTCCCCCACACCCACCTCGAGTCTATGCCTTGGAATATGCTTCAATTCCTCCATCCATGGCGCTGCAGAGTAAGACTTAAGAGGGAAATCGGCCATGGTTGCTCCCGATGAAAAAAGTCGTGATCGTGAGTTTAGATTTGTATTTGAATGCCCTGCTAATGTAGGCACTGGTAGGCAACAATAAAGTCTACGTGTGGGACTTAGGAGTAAGAATTTGCCTAAAACTTTGGTCATCTGGGCCGTGAAACTGGAAGACTTCTCGTGCAGAGAAACTTTATCGTCGATAAGTAAATAGCTTGGAAGCAAAGTCCGGAATCAAAATGGTTGTTTAATTCGTTTTTATTAAACTATTACTCTGTAAAAATGGGAGGATAAAGTCTTTTGAAGAAGATATAACTTTTATGGCACCAACTTAGTTATGAAATGCCAAATAAGGCGGAGGCAAATTAAATTAAGAATTATTTAATAAGTACAGTAATAGTTGAGGATTGTCAAAATTTTATCTAAATCATCATTTTAATCATTTTTAGATTTAAAACATCAATCAGAGTGACACTTTACAACATATATCGGTCATATACTGTCATTATTGCCACAACCATTCTCAAACTTGGTAACTTGGCTTGCCGTAGAACAACTGAGAGTAAATATGAAAATAAGCTACATGTAGACTCTATGGCCAAAATTAAGCCACGTATGACGTAGCTAGGAAGTCGTTTTGCCAATTTTCAGATCAGGTACTTTAATTTCATATACTTATTTCTAATCTTACTCTGATAATTCATTATCGCTTGATGTGAGATGTCATTTGATTATTTTAACTGGTGGTGAAGTATGTATTGAGTAAACATAGTGTGGAGATGCTGAGTCAGTAGTGAGACTAGACTAGAGTGATTGTTATTGCGCCGCGCCTAGCTTGTGTTGATGCGATATGAATAACGATCCTTCAAGCCGACCAGCCCGGCGGGCTGGCGCGCAGCGCAGGCCTCCTTTGGCTCGGGGTAAGCGTTGGCTTAGACCGAAAGCTCAAGTCTCTGATATCGACAGTTGTTCACTTGTTAAGTATTTCACTTAAGTTTAAGTCTTATGTAACTATATTTAAGTTTGAAAAATTCTCATTTTCGTCATATTTAAGGTACAAACTGGAAATTTATTCTGAAATGTTCATTGATTTGTCTATTTTATGTTGTCTGCGTCAGTTATGTGTGAAGTGCGTTACCTGTTTAAAGTATGGCATGTCAAAATCTCCATGGTGTGACATAATATTACGTATTGACATTTCCATTGAACTTAAGTTGCGCTTAAGAGCTAAGTTAAGAAGGCCCTCTCTTACTTAAATTTGAAGCAAGTTTGTTTTAAAAAACAGACTTATAAAACCACATTTTGTCATCATACCATAGTCACACGCCGGAAAGTGGTAATATTTCATGTGTAGAATGTTCACAAAAAGCCTCCAACCCATTTGTTCAAATAGCTTTCCTGTAAATTTACTTTTATGTTGGAAGTTATTATTGTTCTGAATGTGTATGTTGTTTTTGTTGATCTCCTTGTGTAGGTGATGGTGCCATACTTGTGATCAGTTGTAGCCAAGCCTGCTGAGATGTCTCAGGCTGCATCACCCAGTGCACAGGAGGGAGGGGACACTAAACAGTCCCCTGCCCCCAAGGCTGGCAAGGTGAGTAGTCAAACAACAGAAACTTTAAAGGGATCCGGTAACTTTGACTTAGATCCTTTATAAAAATCCTTGATTTAGCTCATGTCTCGTACACCCATTGCAAGTTGTATCAATTTCCAATGTATGTCGGTACTGTATTATTCTGGATACAGCTAAGTTTCTTCTCTTTACAATATTACAAAGTTAGGTGATTAATCTCTATCATCTGTTCAATATAGTGGCTCTATAGGTTATTGTTGGGTGAGGGTGTATAATCATGCTATAATATGCTAGTGTTGAGCTTTTTAATTCTTTTAATTTTCTTTATTATCAGCTGGAGAGTCTACCTAAAGAAGATCTAATCAAGTATGTCAAGAAACAAGCCATGCAGGTTCAGAAGATGAAAGCTAAATGTGAAGGTAGGCTCATATACAGTACAAAGGACAAGGGGTGTACATGTAAGTTGCTTACATTGCAAGTTGTATCCTCCTTGACTTTCAAAATGGCAATTGACCATTTTCATAATGAATCAAATTTAATGCACAAATCTTTGTTAAGTGCCTTGTTACAAATTATTTCATTCACCTGTTACAAATAATTGTTTTTCAATAGTCAGAATACGAATTGCATTCATTAATTGTACAACTAACATTATGGCTTGTCCTACCTAACAACAACTAATGTACGCAATTTGCATTCTGACAATTGAAATACAAGTATTCTCAAGTAACAGTTCAATGAAATAATTTGAAACAATACACTTAAAGTTTTGTGCATTTAATTTGATTTGTTTACAAAAATGGTCTATTACACATGCTTTGATGTACTGTGCAAGAATAAACATTTCTAGACACAACACAAAAACTTGCCAGATGGAGTGCAAAACCTATGGGCAGATGGTTTGAATTTCTACATAATATTGTGAAACCTGTCAATAAAGACTACCCAAGGGAGACAAGAAAGGTGGTCTTTATGTACAGGTTCCTTTAGTACAAGTTACAATGAGAAACCATTTTCATTGGAAACAAAAAATGTGGTCATTGTAGACAGGTGGTCTTTCTATAGAGGTGGTCGTCAAAGCAGGTTTGACTGTACATGAATGCAGCTCAAGGAATAACAGACTTCTGTCTAGACAGCTGGCAAAGTGTTTACTCACTGCTATGTAAAGAGAAGAATGTAAATTGTCATTTCTGTGGTAGTACTCGGTAAATTCCAGTCCTAGTGTTTATATTGATACAGCTGTTCACAAGTAGAATTCCTATTCATCAATACAGTGTGTCCCAGAAAAAACAAGACAAAGACAAAGAATTCAAAAGTTGTCATTTGAATGGCCATTTATTGCAACAAAGCTTTTGTAATGGCACCAATATAACTGTGGTTTCTCAGACCTGCATGTGGCAGCGATTTTGTCATAACTCCCAAGTATTAATTAATCCTGTGTGACTGATACTGTATGTACTATTTATTTGTTACCTCATAGATTTGGCAAAGAAGAACGCAGAGCTTCAGAGTGAGAAGAAAAGTAGCCCTACATCAGCGGCGTCAGATGGGAAGACGAGTAAGATGGAGGAAGAGCTGAAAGAATTGAGAGAAGAGAATGAGGGAGTGCAAGCAGCATATAATGCCGTCCAGCAACAGCTAGCTCAGGCAGCAGAAGTACAAGAGGTATGGTATGATGCTCACATAGGTGCATTACTATCCGGGCTGTGTATTAAAAGCTGTGCTATTGATTCTCAACATTTCAAACACCACTGTACAAAACTCAACTGATTTCACTCAAAATCTGTACTTTAGTAATGACTGATGACACCTAAATAGCAGTAAAATACAATTTTTTCAACTTTCCGATGTTAGAAAGAATAATTTAAAAATTCAAATGGTGAGTGCACTGTCAAACTTGCCGATCATCCACATCGGCATGATTGCGTGCATTTGTGTGTTATGAGTGTATCGACTATTCATGTATTCAAATGCTGCCTATTAACACGTAGTGCAGTGCTAGAAGTCGATACGCATTAGCATTGACTCTCTATGCTTTGCTGGAGTGGTATGATGGTGGTTGTTTGTTTAATGTATGATGATCCAGCAGAGAGCAGTTGTGTATATGCCCGCCCCCCCCCCCACTCCAAGAACGGACGGACCCCATGCGTGTTGCCAACAAAAGTAACAAAAGAAAAAGGTTGAGCCGTATTGACTTTACACACCGGACTTTTGCTGAAAAGGGGGGGTCGGTTGGAACATGCATATGCGTACCCTAAATAACACTGAATGGGGGGGCCGGGTGTATATGGCATGCAAGAGATTAGCCTTGAGGGCATGGTGATCCATGAAATATGATATTGATGTCACCAAGCCTTAGTAAGCATGCATTTGTTTGTGTGAACTACAGAGCCATGTAAAGAAAACCTCAAATGTCGATCCATGTTATCATTCCCAAACACAACAAACCTTGCAAATTATCTTTGAGTGCACTGAGGGACTCTGCTTCGTCTCGTGCAACACACTTGGTATCGGCCAAGAATTTAAATGAAAAATGGGGAAATTTGTTACTGGAGTGATGCAGCTTTGCTAACCTTCCACATGTTACTGATGATAATGAATTAATGTGTGATTTACATTACACAAACATTTTCCACTGCGGAGAGTTCGCGATGTTGATCATTGCCAGGAACACAAGTATAGATTGGTGTACCAAAAAGGCTGATTTCGGGGTGTCAACTTTATGTCAATTTTAAGAGAGCGATTTGTATTAAAAGGCATATTCTGGTAGTGTTGTTTAATACAGTGAACTCCCTGCACGCGCCTTTGTACACAAAACGAATCACTTAGTGGCACAGGCCCGATAATTACCCCAATTTAAATCAGTTTCCTGAATTTATTTGATTTTTTCCTGATTTTTCCCTTATTTTCTCTATTTTTTCCTATGTTTTCCCAACTTTTCCCAATTTTTCTTACTCAAAAGAGAGAATGTTGTTAGATGCCATTCCCCCCCCCCCAAATCCTCTTTTTTTTTTTCTTTTTTTTTACTCAAGGGGGGGGGGGGGGCGTGGTTGAGGGGGAAAAAAAGTTAACAAACTTTTCTTTTGTTTTGATGCTCTGTAGACTCTGCAAGAGGCTCTGAATGCCGCATCGGACCAGAGGAGTGAAGCTGAGAAACAACAGCAAGCTGCTGTAGCTCAACTAGAGAAGGCTAACTCCAAGATGAAGGTGATTACTTCTATCATAAACCTCTTTATGAATAGACATACTCAGAAATTTATTGTGGATGTATATGGCTTGAGGTTTTTATGCCTCCGCAACGAAGTAGACAGAGGCATTTTTTCGGGTTGTGTGTCCGACCATACTTCTCGCCAAATTTGGGTCATGTATGTATATTGTTGAGCCAATGAGCTGATTAGATTTTAGGTCACATGGCTCATTATGTATGCAAAAATAGCTTGTGATTGCATTATCATTAGAACCTATGGACAGATTACCATCAAACTCAGGATATTTTAGTTTCAGTTTCAGTTTTTATTTTTCATTTCCAACAGAACAGTAATTTTGACAAGAAATCAGATATACAATTCAACATTCAATAATATGATACATTTTACATGGTTTAAAGTTGTGAAATAGAAAGTATACATAAATATTCAGTATAATAGGTTTTTTAATTTCTTTTTAAAGATAAACCTGTGGAATTGAAGCAATTATAATGGAAAAAACTAAGCGATTCAAATTCCCTCTTCCACATTTAATGGTACATACAGTAATTATACAAAACATAACATTTCATGAAATTTTCAACTATATTCTATTTGATGCAGGGTTTGGAGGAACAGATTCAGTGCATGGAGATGAAAGAAGAGACCATGCGAACTACATTCCAATGTTTACAAGAAGATCAACAAGCAATCACAAACGAGAATAAGGTGAGTTATAACCATTGTCCTGTATTTTCAGAATTAGATTAAATTATACAAATTTTCATTGGCTTGTATTCTGAGAAGCAGAAAAACTGCTAATGTTTTTTTCTATGAGGCTTTAAAAAAAAAGTTGCTGCATTGCCCTTTAGGTGCCAAAACATGGGTCATTTTTTTTTACTCCCTCTTTGTGCTGATATTTCTCTGTCTTGAATGCTTTAATACATTTTTTTCTTCTAAAAAAATGGTTTAAAAACCATAGATTTCAAGATTTTTGGGTCGGTCACAAAGGGCAATGCAACATTTTTTTTTTTAGGCCTGATCACGTGTAATCCATACCAATACCACGTTTTAAAAATCGTAAGTATGTGAAAAATGTATTTGTCTAGATTTATGTTTCTTAACCATGTAGCGTATTAAAACTTACATCTATAAAGTATTTAGCAAGGTCTTAAATCAACCAGTCCACCTTTTATTCCTTAATTACGAAAAACAACAAAACAAAATCAATTTTCATGTGGTATGAATAATTTAGTTAACTGTATATGCACTATTGAGAGCAACTATACATGCTCATAGAAAACATTTTCTTTTATAATATTGATGCCATCTACTTTTTCTTACTTTTTGTTGACAGAGCCTGAAAGAGCAAATCACAATCCTGACTGAAGCTAGAGATCAGACCATTGAATCCTTAAAAGCCTTGAAACAATCTATGTCGTCAGAATCAAGCAAGGATGACGAGACCAAGAGACGGTTAGATGAAGTCATCTCAGAGAAAAATGAGCTTGCCCAGAAGATTTCTTGTCTCCAGGAAGATCAGGTGACCATGTTGCAGGAGATGGATTCTTTGAAGTCAGAGCTGAAGAGTGTCAACGAGGAGAAGAAGGAAATAACGGACGTTTCAAGAAAGGCAAGTGAGGAGGCAGAGGAGGGATTGAAGATCATGGAGGAGGAAAAGCAAGTGATGATGAAGGCTGGGGTAGAGTTACAGGAACAGGTAGAGAATCTCCAGAATCAACTTGCAGATGCAGAAGAGGGATATAAGACACGCCTTGAGACCCTGATGCAGACTTCAGAGGAAGCTTCCGGTTGTGCACAACAGCTGCGAGAAGAACTGAAGACGATGAACGAAGACCTAGCCAGACTACTTCAAGAGAAGGAAGATCTCATCATAACCAAAGATGAGGCTAATGCCAGAGCTAATGCCTTGGAGGAGAAAGCTCATGAATGGGAGAGAGAGAAGGAACGAGAACAGACGAAGATGGAGGAATATGAAGAGGATATGTCACGTCTCAAAGTCCAGGTGGAAGAGCTGAACACTCTTAAGGATCAACTGACAAAGCTTGGTGCAGAAAAGGACAGCCTAAAAACTGAAGGGGAGAGATTGTCTGAAGACAATTCTAGATTAACAGCAAGCATGAGAGAGACTGCAGAGGAAAGAACACATCTGTCAGAAGAACTTGAGTCTTTGAAATCAGGTCAGACTGATTTGAATCAGGTTCTCCAGAAGCAACTTGATGATACCACAAAAGAGAAGAACAGTCTTAAAAAGAATCTTCAAGAGCTTGAGCTGAGTTATGGGTGCCTTCAGAAGGAAGCTACTGCAAAAGAGGCTGAACTTGAAGAGATAAAGAGATCAGTTGGAGAAAAAGAGCAACAACTTGAGAAATTACAAGAAGACAAATTGAAGAAGGAAGAAGAAATGACCAAGATTGAAGGTTCGCTGCAACAATCTCTTGACTCTGCAAAAGAAGATGCTGAGAGGATGAAAGAAGAATTGAAGAGTGTCGGGGAAGGTGTGTCAAGCGAGGAAAACAAAAAGGTGGAGGACCTCACCAACGCCAAGGGAGAACTTGAGAAAATCATCAAGGAAATGAAAGAAGATGTCGTCAGAAAGGATGAAGAGATGAAAGATTTAAAAGAGAAACTTGAAGAAGTTGAGGGCGCTTTAGAGTCATCCAGAGAGGAGAAACGAAAGAAGGCGCAGTTGGTGGAAGATCTAGAAAAGGAATTGACAGCTCTGAAACACACTATGATGAAAGGAGATAATGAGAAGATAGAGGAGATGTGCCGTAAAGAAGAAGAATTACAATTAGCCCTGGGAACTGCAAAAGAAGATGCTCAAAAGAAGGAAGAGGAGATGAAAGAGTTGAAGGAAGAGATGGATGTAGTGAAGGAACAATTGATGCTGATCAGAATGGCTCATCTTGAAAGCATGCAGCAAAGCTCAGAATACCAACAACAAGTGGAGACCCTTCAGAAGACACAGAGCTCTACAGTGAGTATAGTTGGCCTTGTAGGAATCATGCAAAATTGACCATCACATGCATTCTATTTCACCATGATCTAGATGAATATGAATACATTTACTCTTTGCATAAAAGCGGAAAAGGGATGTTTGGTACAGTTTTTTTTAAACAACAACAAACAAAAACTTACAGCTAATTATGTTGAAAGAAAAAAGCCTTAAAATGTTATGAACTCTGTGTCCATTGAAATAGGGAGGTTTATGAAGTTATAAGAAATACACAAAAATACATAAATTTAAATGAATTCATCAGCCAAAAGAATTTGATGGAAGTTGAATGATAGCTGTGAATCCACCAAAATGAGTTTAGGCATCCAAACTTACAAAACAACCATTCAAATTTGTTGTCCTTAATTTTCATGATTTATTTTACATTTTATGAACTCTCATTTATTACCTGATTGATTATTCAGAATACAGATTACAGATAGAAACAAGGAAAATATAATGCTCAGAATTTAAAAATGTAAATGTTCTCCATTCTTTTATATATTTTGTTTTTCCTTTGACAGAGTAAAGGAGATGATATAAGAGCAAGTAAGCTGGAATCCAAAAAAGCTGAACTGGAGCAGGAGAAAGGGGAAATAGAGAAGAAAGTTACAGCATTGCAGAAAGAGGTAGATCAAGGTAAAAAAATTGTTTTGAACTACATCTTTGTCTGTGAAATTTGTCCTTGGGGGTTGTGGTGCCAGAAGCTTGTTTTCCTATGGGGTGCATGTAGTTGTCCAGGAGTAGTTGTCTTAAAAAAAGTTATCCAATGTAGGTTACTCCAGGGGTAGTTGTCTTATAATCAAGTTTTTATTGTGGACTCTTTGGTTTTACCCTTTAATATGTAGGTAAGAAAATCATCGAAGAATTGCAAGAGCAGAAGGAGCAGCTCCAAGCTTGCATCACCAAACTTGAAACAGAGATGAGCTCCACCATGAAGGAGCTTCAAGACCAGATGACCTTACATGAGCAGGAGAAGGAGACGTACCAGGCCAGTCTGCAGGAGCTTCTAGACCAGATGACCTTACATGAGCAGGAGAAGGAGACATACCAGGCCCGTCTGCAGGAGCTTCAAGACCAGATGACCTTACATGAGCAGGAGAAGGAGACGTACCAGGCCAGTCTGAAGGAGCTTCAAGACCAGATGACCTTACATGAGCAGGAGAAGGAGACGTACCAGGCCAGTCTGAAGGAGCTGGAGCAGGGAGCTGTTCAGGAACGTAGGAGATTGGAGGAGAAGATCCTGGAGCTAGAGGGAAGCAAGGAGAAGTATGCATCTAACTTTGAGAAGCTGAAGAAAGCAAGCACGGCTAAGGTCCAGGAGCTGCAGGAGCAGATCAAGGAGCTGAGGAGCTCCAGGGAGCAAGGAGACAACAACAAGGAGACACAGCTAGTACAACTTCAAGGTATACATGAAACCTGATAGACTAGCTTCCCAGTGTAGTCTCTGCCTACACCATTCATAACGATCTTAACTTTAACTATTTATACATGTACATGTTGTTTCCAGTTAGGATTTTCATCATGCTATTATATTCTTATCATTTCATTTCTTCTGTATTCACTTCTTGAATTGTTTCTATTTCCATAGCGCTGCGGCTTCAAGACTTAACTGTAATTTGTGCTATATAAAAACTGAGTAGTATTATTATTATTATTATAAATATTTTTGTTATAGTTATTGAAACATCCCATGCACAGATGTGATAGTCAAACTTGCTAAAGCGACCACCTGTCTATAAGGAGCATATAGTTTGTTTTCCCTTGAACTGTATTTCTTATTGAAATATGTTCTAAGAGCACCTGTCTTTATTGTTACCTTTTCTAGTTGCCCTTGAGAGGTCTTCATTGATGGGCTTCATGGTCTGTGCCTTGATTTAAAGGGAAAGACCAGTTTTGGAAACGCTCCCCTCTCAAAAACTGAAATGGAAGCTCTAATTACCAATAATGGGAAAGAATATGTTTTGACTAATACGTGATGATACAAATTTTGCCGGGAAAACGCCTACTAATTGATATATTTGGTAAATTATTATATCTATTTGGACCTCATAGATATCGCGCATGTGTCATGCACGTGTCGCGTAGTCCCATATACATCTTTCTGTGTACAGTGCTTGTAACTCCAAGACAGGGCAAAATTTCTTATCATTTTGATGATTCCAGAACCTTGCAGTACACACCAATACTTATACATGTATGCTAGATCATCAACCTTTTCTGATCGATTCCACAACGTTTCTTTCACAATGCAAAAATTGACCAGAACTGATCTTTACCTTTAAAGAAATATTTTCAAATTTTACGATAGTCATCTTTACTAATCATTAAAAGAAGGAATTCTATTGTTTTATAAACAGATAAAATAAGTTCACTGAGTGATACCGTCACTCAACTCCAAGATGCCAATGACAGCCTTCAGTCCAGACTGGATGAATTATTGTCGGAGAAGAATGCCCTCTATGCCGACTTGGAGACAGCCATGCATCAGAACGAGGTCATGGGTCAGAAGGAAAGTGACATTACTCATCAGGTCAATGACCTAGAGGTCACTCGGCAGAAGCTGATTGGTCAAATGCAAACTATGCAGGTTTGTACTCCTCTATAGTGTCTTGTGTGCCCAGCAGAAGAATGCATCACTATGAACATGACGGACAAAGAAAGAGGACAAAATATACAGTTCCTCATTCTACCCTCAACAATTGCTTTGGTAGACAAAGGAACATCCCTTCACTGCTATTATGTAAAAATGTGTAGAACAGGTGAATATGCATGTGACACCTGTTCTACGCATGTTTACATAATAGCAGTGAAGGGATGTTTCTTTGTCTACCACACCAATTGTTGAGGGTAGAATGAGGAACTGTATATTTTGTCCTCTTTCTTTGTCCGTCATATTCATAGTGCATGTGATTCATGTAGAATGGATGTGCATTTATATATATAATAAATGTTCCAAAGATTTGACTGCATTAGTGAATTATATCAGCTACCAAAAATAACATAAGAATAATGATAATAATTGGCATTTATATAGTGCCGTCTATCTAGACAATTCTATTCCGAGGCGCACAAGAAAAATAGAAAGAATGAGAGAGTTTGGATGAGTGTCATCGTGCCAAGTACAGGTATTGTTAAAAAAGATAAGATTTCAGCTTGGATTTAAAGGTCTCTAAGGAAGTTATGATTCTCAAATTAAATGGTAAATTATTCCAAAGAGATATGCTTGACATTTGACGATTATACTTGGGTTCTCTTGCCAAAAAATATTTAACTCTTTATACTGCTTCAAGGATATATTTCATGTTTCATAAGTTGTCAAAGTATTTACTTCCCAAATCATTCTGAACTGAAAACTGGGGAAGCTATTTGTTTGGAAATAAGGAGTATGTAGCTATTCTTGAGTGCCATTTGCCATCAGAAAGATGATTTTATGCATAATACATGTACATATATTTTCTTTTTTTAATGGATGATTTCTTGAATCCAAGTTATAATTTGATTTTAGGTAAATATTTTCTTCCTATTATCTCAAATAGTCCAAACTAGATGGGCATATTACTGAGAATGAGAGTCTGAAATCAACCGTGGAGGAGTTAAGATCTCAGAAAGATGATGTCACTAACCAGATGACTCAACTCAGAGAAACAGTAGCTGAACTCAATGCAAAGGTGAGTCTATGTAAGATCCTGAATTGTTACATAAATAGTGGTGGTGGTTGGTGGTGGTGGTTATTTTACGACTGATAGGAAAGCACAAATGCTTTAGGCTTTAGGTCCTCTCGGAGGGACCTGGTAATGAGGATTAATGCCTTACCAAAGGGCACTAGCGCATGGCCTTGGTTTCGAACCCGGGTCACCGGATTACGAGACCACTGCTCTACCGTCTGAGCTATCGCGCCTCCTCTAAATAGTGTTATTTAAATTGCTAAGTGTTTTGATTCTTCTATCTAGAAAAAATGCCTGATTAGCAGCAAATTATAGTGACATCAGACCAGTAGCACTTCAATCCTCTGACTTCTCACTACAAGGCTTACTGAGATACCGTGCAATATTTATTAACATGTATTATCAGTATTCAGGACCTCTGTCAAATTCTGTACAATTTACCTTCCTAGTCAGGTCGTAATGTGTACAGAAGTCTTTACTGGTATGAATATTTATGAGCTAGGTATCTTTTTAACTTGATTTCTTCACCATATGCCGTATGGCTATAAAATCAAGGACAGTGCTCTCCTAATATGCTTTGTGTAACAGGTGGATTGTGTGCTATATGAATACATAATTATTTCAAACCTGCCTTGTCTCTATAGAAAGGACAGTTGGAAGAAGAGTCCCTGCAGAGATCAGCCTGTCACAATGAAGGGACCCAACAAGAAATAGGTAAGATTCTCATTGGGCCTTTATGATTAATATTCTATTCTCAAGTAGCTCATCAAAATCTGACATAACACACCTATGTGCTTTGAGAAAGAGCTTTGCAAATTATTACTCCAGCTTAAACTCAGAAATTGCTATCAGTGCATGGGGAATATCAAGGAAGTATATTTCCAGGTACCTATTTGCCTCACATGGGTCAAGTATGTTGCTTGTAGATGATTGTCTGGGCAAAGGACAGAGGCAAATGTTGATTTCTGTTCATGGATTTGACTTTTCGTATACACTGTGTCTTGTGTGTTTAGCTGTAGTATTTTGTGTTTGTCTTTGATTACAGTTTCTTTGAAGAAATCAGTGAGAGAATCTGAAGAGAAAGTCCAGAAGATGAAAGCAGTTGCTCTGAAAGCTAAGAAGGAGCTTGACCTTAACAAGAAACAGGTGAGATTCAGCTTTCATGCCAGTTTTTGTCTCACCTGCATAGCAAAAAGCAAGACATCGCCTGTTTTCCGGTGACGTTGATATAATATTGAAAGTATAACTTCTTATTTCATGAAACTTGGTTCAAAGAGTAATATTTCCAAAAGATCGGCATAGTTGATTGAGTGACGTGTTATTCAGTCGCGGCCATTTCTTACTTGAGCCTGTTCCTTGTGTTTTTTACTCATCATGTCATGTCAACAGTTGATTATGAGGTACAATTATGTATCACGAATCACATGACACAAATTCTAGGTCAGTTTAGGTCAGTAGACTTGGATTATATTTTCACAACTTAATGAGAATTAATAAATCAATTTTTGTTAATTGTTCATATTTCATGAAAGTTATCAATCTTGGTACAAATTATAGTAAATAATTGTTCTGATGATTCTTAGCCAATATTCACTTCAAAATGCTGATTATATTCAGAGGATTCCATTTTTGGGGGGCTGCTAATGGGCCACCCTGCCTATAAATAATGTCTCGACCTCAATTTTTCATCATATCGAATTGCGTAATGCAGGCAAGACCACCGAGAGCTTGTTTTTACCTTGAGGGGTATTTCATTTTTAGTTCTATAATGCTCAAGAATACAGGAACCGGGATCCAAAAAACACAGCCTTCTATAAGCTATCTGTCAGTAAACCTCTAATCAAGAGAAAAGCAGCACGAGACCCATGCACATAATAATAAGTATAGAGAATATTTATTAAGCACATAATAAATTGAAAATTTCTCTATGCACTTTATAATCATGACAAATTTGAATATATAAACATAATAAATAACAAAGCAGATAAGCAAATGACAAAAAAAAATATTTATGGGAAAATAAACCAATTCACCTATAATTACATCTAAGTAAAAATATTTGACATTACGTTTATACAAATTCAACAAACAAACAGAAACCCATTATCTCGAACCAACTTCCTGACCAGCAAAAGGACAAAGCAGCTCTAGGAAACCCTTGAAACCAAAAGGTTTTTAGGGCTCTTCCAAAGCTGTCAGTGCCCCAACCACTCGAAGCTGGTCAGGAAGTTGGTTTCACAAGACAGACGCTGCTGTTGAAAAAGCACGAGAACCATACGTTTGGGTTGATAAATATACGTTATAACTAGTACCAGATACAAATTGGTACACAAATGTTTGTTTCCAGGTTATGCATGTTTTGAAGTAAATGATCAGAACATTCTACAACTCATGCTCTGCTGTCTATTGCCTTTAGGAACTTCAATCCAAGACCAAATACTAATTAACTTAAAGGTGATTTTAATCCTTATCCCCTACCCAATATATTGATGAAGTAAAGCCTGGGCTTAGTATTATTGGAGCTTTGAAATATATAATGTAATGCCTTATATGAATGTAATATTATTATTATTATTAGTGTACTCCTCCTTGGGTCACTGATGAGTGTAAATGAATTCTCTTTATCAGATGGTAGCTATTTCACAACAGAAGGAACAGACACAGTCTGAGCTGCAGACTATGAGTAAGAGATATGAATCACTGGAAGCTAGGCTCTCCGGGAGTCACCAACATGTGGAGAACTATCAGGTTTGTCAAATTCACTTCTCTTTTTTGTTCTCTTTCGCCTCTTCTGACTACTACTTACATGCTCGCTAGATGCCTTGTCTGTTCCAGACATTGGCCATCAAGGCTTTCCATCTATTTCTATCTCTGGTTCTTTGTAATGTGACGTTACTTCTGTTACCAGTCAGCCCAATGAACTTATCCATGTATTTGATGGGCTGTCTCCCTCTGCTTCTCTTTCTCTTTCCTTGAATATTTCCTGTCAGTATCACTGCTTACTGCCTACAGTTATTCCTCATTTTATATACTTCAATTCATAACTGATTGATTTCCTTGTAATAGCATTTATTTGTAATTATTCTTTGGTGACTTGAGCATCCATAATGATGGATATGTGTACTTTATAAATACAGTCAAACCTTACTATAGCGACCACCCAAGGGAAACACAAAAAGTGGCCTTAGTAGACAGGTGGTCTTTGTAGACAGGTTCCTTTATTACATGATTCAATGAGAATCCATTTTCAACGGAAACAACAAATGTGGCGTTTGTAGACAAGTGGTCTTTGTAGACAGGTGGTCACTAAAGCAGGTTTGACTGTATTGTCATAATTATTGTGCTTCCTCTCTCATTATCATCTTCCTAAATAACGAGGATGGTATGCTGTTTTTGTTTTCAGCGAGAGACATTTTAATTGGAAGAACAAAATCACAATATAAAGGTTCTTAGGTGTAACACTAATGAAGAGGCACAGTCATATATGCAAACTCAAAGATTTGGGTAATTAGATCATTAATATATATATACTTTCTCCTTTCAAAATTTCAGAGTCTACACAATGAGTATGAGAAGCTTCAAGATGAATTGGAGGCAAAAACTGAGAGGTAAATTTAACAAATCATTAAGAATAAGTTCTATGATACATTGGGGATAGCCCAAACTATGTCTTGTGGCTATAAAAAACTGGCAGCTAAATTCAGCGTGCCAGAACACATTTGAGGTAACTGTCACAGGTTAATACATGTACCCTTGTGATGTATCACAGAACTTATTCCTGATCATTTAAACCATACTGATAAACTTGTGAACAGAAGACAAAAAATGTGAAAATTATTTTAATTTACCGGTAGTCCAATAAAGAGGCAAGAATACACTTGTTATGGTGTTGTACAATAATTACTTATATATAAATAAGTATATTATTGGTCTTCACATAATTCAGTTGAATCTGTTTCCATATCACAGTTTCATTATACTTGTGTAACATTCCATTTTCTTTTTCTTTTTCATGTTTTATTTGAAGGATAAAAGAATTGGAGAAGCAGATTTCAGAAACACAGCAAGACTTGAATGTAAGTGGTATTTTATTGATCAAACTTATACTTCTCCCGCTCTAAATTAGGAACAATTTTTTTTAAATTACAGACATGTTAACTCCCTCAACACCAGGGGGTGTTTCACAAAGACTAAGATCGACTTTAAGTTGGACTTAAATTTGGCAGGCCGTTCATGCCACTGTTTGCTCTCACCATTATAATCTTTAGATACCTTTTTTTCCTTCAATAATGAATTATCAAAAAATGTAAATTCTGTAGATTTTTTACCATGATTTGTACGTCCTTCGATAGACCATTGCCACTAAATGATGAGAGCAAACAGTGGCATGAATGCCCTGCCATAGTTAAGTCCAACTTAAAGTCGATCTTAGTCTTTGAGAAACACCGCCCTGGTTTTGTTCTTCAGTCACAACACCAAACGGACTCCAACGATAACATGCCCATTTGGATAACGTAATATTTTGTTGAGTTTCTTGTTGACATGTTGATGGTCTCATTAGTGTAACTTGGATGTAAATAAATTGAAATCCTACTTAATTCAAAGTTCACATTCAAAGTTTATTCAACACTCTTCATAAAAACATTTAAAACATACAAATACAGAATGGAGTTATAACAAAAACAAGAAAGTGATAACAAAAACAATGGCAATTTAAGAGCATTTGGGATAGGCAGAAAGGAGGGATTCCTTATATAAAAGCCTACCCCTAAAAACACACATACAGGAACACAAGAACAAAAGAACAGAACAAAAACAAAAAACATACTAAAACTTACTATCATGCATGATCAGAGTAAAAAAAAGTGTCACCATGAAAAGTCTTAACATAAGAACATACTCAAACCAAGTAACTGAAGGATCAGAAGGACAAGACAAACGTATCAAGGTTCTAGACAGGGATGCATGGATGCTACAGTGTATATAGTGAGATACCTATTCACTTACAATACACTTCCCCAAAGCTCATTTCTATGAATACAATGAATTCATACATTACATCTAAACACACTAGAATCTCAGTGGAGTGTACCCAGAAAGGCAAGTACCGGTAGATCAAATTCCTAGACAGGTGTGTTTCTTAGATGTACACATTTTGTTTGAAATCTACATGTACTGAGATAGATATTCACTTGATATGACCCCCATACCTTGAATATACCTTGAGGGCCACACCTCGCCATCGTGGTGATGAAGATCCAGTAGATAGTGTGGTGTGGCAGGGTTAAGGGGGTCCCATTGGACCCATTTAAAAACCCTGGGGGGTGTTTCACAAAGACTAAGATCGACTTTAAGTTAGACGTAACTATGACAGGCCATTCATGCTACTGTTTGCTCTCACCATCTACTGGTATTGGTGTCTCCAGGGACTTTTAAATCGTGGTCACAAATCTACAGAATATACGTTTTTGATAGTTCATTATTGAAGGAAAAAATATTATCTAAAGATCATAATTGAGAGACCAATAGTGAGAGCAACCAGTCGCATGAATGGCCTGTCATAGTTAAGTCCAACTTAAAGTTGATCTTAGTCTTTGTGAAACACGCCCCAGGTTGGATAATCGTCGTTTGAAGCTGAGGATAGCCTTTCTTAATAAGATGAATGAATTCTCTACATCCTAGAATCTCTCGATGGAGTGTACTCAGACGAAGCAATTGAAGGAAGAGCTAGTCCAGAGACTTGACGGTCAAGACAAGGAGATTAAGACTTTAGAGAGGGGCGTGGCCGAGATGAGGAGCAGGGCGACGGTTGCCGAGGAGGAGAGGGATGCTGAGAGGACAGAGAAGACAGAGAAAGAGCAACAACTGCAACAGGTCAGAATTCTATTTGAATTTATTTTTTCTTCTTCCAAGTATATGTTATTATTACTTCTGCGCCTGGTGCATTCAATTGTCAAGCCTTATTGGCTTTTTACGGATGCACCATTGTCCATTTGTACTATGGTTTATACTTTCATATTTTCTGTCAATTTATATGTAACTTTGATTTTGTTATCTGTTATGAAATTCCATATTTTATCTTTGTATATATTGTCATGATGGCGGCTCAGCTACACCCGGGGTAATAATATGGTACTTTGTATTTAGCACATTAGAGTATATTCATATAGTAGCTGCGCAATATAAATGGACCTATTATTATTATTTACAGGCAAATGAGAGAGTTGTCATCCTTGAGAAATCCTTGAACGAACAGAAGACAACACATGATAACACCACTAGGAAACTAGGAGCTGCTCTTCAAGTAAGTTGAGTCTTTTTATACTTATGAACATATCAATACAGAACATGGAGAGAACTATAATAAATTCGCCATTTATCAATCAGCAATCGATATTTGAGTCAGATTTTTATAATTTCATGTTGTCACTTTTATACATTTTTTATATTTTCACAAACAAATTTTATAAGATTTTTCACAGAACAATTGTGCTTCATGTGACAGTATACACTAATTTTACGGGTACCTTTGTGATGTATAGGATGCTTATGTAAATATGAAATGCTGCAAAATGGGCTGAACCTCGTGCAATGTGATCATATTTACAGGAACAGTTCCAATGAACATTCCATGCATCTACCTCTCTTTGCTATGAAGGAAGCCAATCGGGGACCTGTTTCACATCTCATGAGTCTTCAGACTTTATTGAACAACTATTATGAATTGGTTCTTTGATACATCCAAACATTATTAACCTTTGACAGTTTTACCTTCTATGATCAAGACATCTTCATCAGAAATGTACTGGTGAACCAATGTCAAAGTTAACTACCAGTTTTATTAGATGACAACTAAGCAAAATACAGTATTCTGAATATAACCATCGATGAGAGATGCATGAAGTTTACTAACCTTGTGTGAATCTAACTTTGTTTGTTTGTAGGAAGCCAGTCAGAGCAATCTTATGGATCTGGAAATAGCAGACTATGAGAAAACGGTATCAAGTCTGAACGCAACTATCGATGAGAGAGACACCAAGATTACTAACCTCACAACGGAGGTGGACAGTCTGGAGAAGAGACTAGATGCAATGCAGAATGAAGTCGGTAAGATGGAATGTTCTTGCAGTAATTACGTTTTTAAAAATTGCTTTCTTCCCCAGAACTACCAAGGACTGGAACAACCTTCCAGTAGATCCAGCCTGCTCACTCTCCCTTGAGGCATTTAAGTTCTCACTGGGGAAGATGCACCCCTAACTGCCCTCACGGGATTGAAAGCTTTTACTCGCATCCTGTACATATATGCACAAGGATCCTGACCAGCAGGCTCACACAGGCTCCTCACAGGCACACATAGTACGCAATCTTCAAGGCCTTGAAGCACTTTCCTTGGAAGAAGAAGAAGAATTGAAAGAAGAAGAAGAAGAGTTTGAAATTGTCAATCTTAAGCTAAATGAAAATTAATTATAAAGAGTAGATGAAGGAACCAGAAGCACGCAAGTTGATGAGGCATAGTTCCAAACCAAGGCAATACATTGTTGCATCAAGATTACCCTTCAGTTGGTATCTTTGTGTTTAAATGGCATTTGATTCTGTTAAGGACTCCTGAATTATGTTGATTCTGTGAGGAACATGTATAACATAATGAAATTTGTTGCTTACATAAATATCTTAATTTGTTTGTGTAAAAACTACAAACATGTACCGTAAATCTCCGTGTATAAGACACCGCCGAAAAAAATTGAAAGTCGGGGGTTGCGTCTTATACACAGGTACAATTTTTTTTTTTTTTTTTTTCTTGACCCCAAAATAGGGGTGCGTCTTATACATGGAAATTTACGGTATGGAAAAATAAAACTGATATTAAAACGGACCGGATTTTCTTATTTTGACCTTTGACCTTGATGTGCAGCTGCGGTAGGTAACCAGCGTGACCAGGCGGAGGAGAGAGCAAACAAAATCAAGGGGATGTTGATGAAAGCTAAGAAGGAGCTCTCTGATCTGAAGAAGACGGAGAGCGAGCAGAGAAGTGCAGAGGCTGCCCTCTATGGCCAGGTGGAGTATCTCACTCAGCAGGCCGAGGATGGCAAGATGGAGCAAGCTAAGATGGCCGCAGACAATCAGAAACTCAAAGACCAGGTTGGTTTTTTCATTATTTTTCAGAAGTGACATACATGTAACCTCTACAAAATATGTAACAGATACTAATTGTTGTGTGTATTTACCACTTGTTGTTTCCCTTGAAAATAGCTTCTCATCGAATCATGTACTAAAGGAACCTGTCTACAAAGAACACCTGTCTACAAAGGCCACTTTTTGTGTGTCCCTTGGACGGTTGCTATAGAAAGGTGTGACTGTATAGAGATATCGAATGCTTTGAGAGCCAGACCTCGAATATTAAAGCAGTCGATATGTCTTTTATATGCCGAATTGAGACAAAAATCTACCAAGAAATTCTTACCTTATCCTTTTATTGAGTAAAGATTGGTTAAAACATCACGGAAAATCTGAGACACTGTCTGTTAATCTTTGCTGGAAAAATGACTGAAAGTTTCAATCATTTGGGAATCGCAGACAAAAAGCACTGTATGGTGTCCGCGCTCGCACAAAGACAATTTTAACATGTAAACCAATGGGGATCGCAGCATTAAGGGCATTTTTTGAAAGACTATTGACTGATAGGCGGGTATGAGGGCACTTTTCAAAAGACTATTAACTGGTAGGCTGGGCATGGCTAAAATCACAACTCCAATTACGACCAATCAGATGGCTAGATTTCTAAAGTGAGTTATATAATAGTGATGCAATATGTACGCATAGTCCCATGTACAGTATCCATATGTGAGAGTGCCTTGCTTCTCACTGGATGTTATTTTAAAAGCAAGATTGTTGATTCCAAAACCTCACAAGAGACAATTTTATGAAAATGCACAGATCAGACCACGCAAGGGAGACAAGAAAAGTGGTCTTTATAGGCAGGTGGTCTTTATGTACAGGTTCCTTTAGTACATGTTTCAATGAGAAACCATTTTCAAGGGAAGCAACACATGTGGTCTTTGTAGACAGGTGGTCGCTAAAGCAGGTTTGACTATACAGAGCATACAATGAGCTACACACTCTGGTAATGTCTCTGTTTGTATTTCTCAGATGCGTACATCCAACGAGTCTAACATGAGGGCGGTAAGGAGTCTGGAACAGAAGGCTACTCTGCTCCAGGAGGACCTAGACCTAGCCAACAGAGAACTCACTGGCTGCCAGGCTGAGTTTGAGAGCTATAAGGTATAATGGAAAACATGTGCATACTAGACAGTTGTCAAATTCATTCTTAAATTTTCTGTGCATTCATGCACTTTACCCTGATGAGTGCAAGACAGCAAGCTTGGGTATGTCTGCATGTAAGCTAGACAGAGGAGCCTACAGAACCTTCTTCTTCTTCTTATTTGATCCCTCCACTATTTTGGAGATTCCTGGAGTCCAAATAAAGTAAATGAGTAAATCCAACCGGTTAGGAGCTCTGAATAGCATTAGAACGACATGCATCAATTTTGTAATAGAAAAAAGAGGGATAGTAGAAGAAGGCTATTATAAATTTCGGAAGGTAGGCATGGATGAAAGGGTAACGTAGTAGCATGGGTAAATTGCTATGGGTCATCATCATCGTACAGGTTTTGTTTTTCAACATTCTCTCCCCTCCCTCCCTCCCTCTCTTTCTCCCACCTCAGGTCAGAGTTCATAGCGTCCTCAAGCAACAGAAGACCAGGGAGACCAATCCTGTTGCCATGGCAATGGATGCAAGGGAGAGAGAGGAGTCAGAGCAGATGATGCAAGCCTTGAGGAGTAAACTGAATGAGACGGGAGATAAGATGGTTGCTTTGAGGGCAGAGCATGAGCTGTTACAAGGAGAGCATGATCGTTTGTCAGCGAGACACAGTGAGGTCATACAAGATATGGAGGCTAAAGAAGCACTTGCAAGAGAAAGGTATCTTAAATTTTATCATGCCACAGGGCTAATCCCCATTGTGCCAAGCCCCAAATCCCCCTGTGCCAAGTTTATTTTGAGATAATCTGATTAACACGTGGTTCTATGAATAGCGTGTGCGGAACGAACAGCACAGTGCAATGATCATGAACAATAACTGCTATTACGAATGGTGCAAGCATGCACAAGGCAGCGAAGCAATGGCTCACTGGCATGTACAAAGCACTATAACGGTAGCGTGCATGTAGCCTTATGGCAGGCTATGAGTTAACTATCAGATATTATACAACACCTACGTGGATCCTTGTCATTTGATTGGACGATTGTTGGTCACATGATATTCAATAGATGGTATATTGCACGGTCGTGCATTTTTGGTTATATGCGCCGTGCATTTTTGGTTATATGCGCCGTGCATTTTTGGTTATATGCAGACTGCGTACCTCTCAGTCGTGCGCGCGCGTATCCCTGCGTGTATCTGACGCGAAGGCAATCTCAATGTAATCGAGAAGGCTTGACTCCAACTTTAATTTATTTTTAATATAAGGAGTAAAGCATAATTTGTTGATTAACGTTCTATTAGATCTTCTTCGATGTTGTATAAAACAAATAATGAATGTTTTTCATTCGTTCAATAGTGCAAATATTTTCATTCGTTGAAAGATTAACGTTAATTCTATTCAACTCGGCTGACGCCTCGTTGAATAGAATGTTAATCTTTCAACTCATGAAAATATTTGCACTATTGAACTCATAACCATTCATTATTTGTATACTGTTCAATTCAGTCATAGGCCTGTAATGTTAACTCATTGCCTATGGGATCCAAGTTGTCCCTGTATTAAGCCTATGTGAGTTAGAGGATTCAGTAGTCAAATGGGTGCACGTGCCCATAAGAATCATGATAATATCCTGATATTTCCAAAAATAGAGTCTGTCGCAACCAAAAGCAGAACTGGGGAAGTTATCACACAGAGTAATTTTAGATATCAAATCACTGATTTCTACTTAACCAATTGACTACTGAGTTCTCATATCCCCATAGGGTTAATACATAAACCACCAGGTTCCAGTAGGCAATGTGTTTATAGTTTCCTCTTCATGCAAATACGTTGTAAATCACTATCATGCTTCAATAAAGAGAAGAGGGAAGAGGTGAAAAATAATTTGTGAGCATTATCATTGTAAGCAAGTGTGGAAGAACATCACATCACAAAGCATGTCTCTTCAAATTCCTTCATATTCTAAATATGGCATGTAACATCATAAAAACCGGGACAGATTTTATGCCACATGTTGGTGTAGTCCCATATACATGTTTCTGTGTACAGTGCTTGTAAATTTACCAAGACTTGGCCAATTTCTTATTATTTTGATTACTCCAGAACCTTGCAGTACACACCAATACTTACATGCTAGATGATCAACCTTTTCTGATCGATCCCACAACAATTCTTTCACAGGAGTGTCAGGAGTGTCAAGTCTTACAGACATGAGCACTATACAAGAACCCATTATTATTATCATTATTTATCGCATGACCAGGGGCCCGTTTCACAAAGCCTTTTTTTCAATGACAAGTGATATAAATCAGTGACAAGTCTGCTGATAACCAATCAGAAGCATGGATTTCAGTAGCTTATAACAAAAACTGTCATTTGACACTGATGACAAGTTATGTGAAACGCCCCCCAGAACTCAACTTTATCTTTAACTTTAACTTTATGTTATTATCTTTGTTAGGTTGGAGAAGCTTCGTATTGAGAGCCACAGCAGGAACATAGAGCATACTGAATCCATCAAAGAATTGACAGCACAGAATGAGGCCTTGACGTCCTCATTCAAGGTAAGCTGTTGTGATCAGTGACTTCCCTCCCCCTGGAACTATTCACTAGACGATTAAAGGCATTGTTTAACAATGTTAAATCTGAGATGCACAGTCCTACGTGGTATCAGTGTCTGTGATATGGTTTTATATTGCAGCCCTAATAAAATTGCGCTTCAAAATTACCAAGAAGTGCCTCAAAAAAGTAAAAACCTTTGAGTGACCGGTTTTACCATACTCGTTTTCCCCAATAGACTAGTGTTATGAAAACCGTTTGGCAAATGCAAAATATGATTTTGATTTTCAATCATAAATATCTTGATAATCAGACAGTGATCAGCTTGTAAAAGTCATGTGATTCCTGACTGACCTTAAGGTTTATAATTATCATTGCAGCATGAGCTAAATCAAGGATTTTTTTTTAAAGGATCTAAGACAAAGTTACCGGATCCCTTTAACCCTAGCCTTGAACATACTTGTCCAAAACTAACAAATGTTAATAAATATATAACAATATCATTTTTTTTTTTTTTTAATTCTTCTTCAAATTTATTCATAGTATAATACAAAATGTGATTAGCAGCCAATGGCTGAATTGTTCACATTTTACAAGCAAGTTTCAAATGGTAAAATTATACGAAGACCAGATGATAATCAGGGTACATAGACCACAGTGGTTTAAAAATTCAAGAATAACAAAAATAGAACAAACATCATGTCATAAAACATAATTAATCTATTTTCTTTTTTGTGTGTGCTTCTTTAAAACCAGATACCTTTGCAACCTGCAACTTAAGTGAATTATAAATTAGCTATAAATTCAGTGCCGTTTCTGTGAAAAAAAAAAAAATTCAGTCCTTGTTTTAGCCAGCTTTTGGTAATGAAGTTTGCCGAAAGCAATGAATGAATTTCTGGAAATAGAGATGTTTTTTCTAGTCATTATCAAGTTCTAGAAATCTAATTTGAGTGTTTTATTTTTGTGATTAGATTCAAATGAGGCAACTGCAGGATGATCATCACCGAACGATGGACAGCTTACAGCGCCAGCTAGAGTCCACCGAGAACCAGCTTTACCGTGCGCAGCAGGAGATACAGAGGAATAACAGCATGGTCGTCATCCCAACACGCACTCCAGTGGAGTCTAGTAAAGAGAGCCCTCTAGAGTCAGCCATTAGGACAGTGCCTGGGGAGAGAGAACAGGCTGAAGTAAGTGGATATGAAACTGTCCTATGCCCCATAACAGCTAGGGAACCCAGTTTGAATTCTGTTAAGTGGTTTCAAACCCTGACACTCCCCAATACAGGCCTTACAGGCTTTATATAGTAAAGCACATATAAACAATTTCTGCTGAGGAACCATCGTACTCTAACCAACAATTGATGTATGTTATTATACAATAACGCTCTCACATGTTGATCATTTGTACAGGGTATGGAGCATACAGATACAGAGATACCCAAAAGCAAGCTCCGCCCCACTCTTCCACCAATCAGCACACAGAGCCCCACCCAAGCCCCGCCCTCTGTACCCTTCGCACAGCTCCTCTCCTCACCGACCGATGACAGACAGAGCATCTTCAGCGCGGTCAGCTCTACGGCCGAAGAGGAGCAGCTTAAAAGCCAGTTGACTGCTGCTCAGCATAGAATTGACCATTTCACAGAGGTATGTTTATCTTCTGGTTTGACTCGTTCACATTTAATTTGGAGTCCTAACAAATATACCACACGCATGAGAAGAAAGGGCAATAATTTCTGCTCACACTGCCAGGATCCATTTTGGTTTCATGACTATATTGCATGTGATGCCAGGAATTAAAAAAAAGGAAAATAAGCTTTAAAATCCTAATAATAAATAATATCTGATATTTATATGGCGCATATATCCACCATGCAAGGTGCTCCAGGTGCTTTGAATATTACCCGGCTCTGCTAGGCTACCGATTTCGGCGCTCACATCATTCAAGGAATTCTTTAGCGATTCCTTAGGATCTTTTTGTGTCTCACTCAAACAGTCTTTTCTGTACAGTAATGGCTAAAGCAATGTACCCTTATCTTATCCCAAGCATGTAAAGATTAGAAGAAGACAGTTAAAAGGTAAAGACCAGTTTTGGAAACGCCCCCCCCCCCCTCTAAAAATGAAATGGAGGCTCTTATTACCAACCATGTGAAAGAATATGTTTTTACTAATACGTGATGATACAAATCTGATATATTTGGTAAATTATTATATCTATTTGGACCTGATAGATATCGTGCACGTGTCGCGTAGTCCCATATACATCTTTCTGTGTACAGTGCTTGTAACTTTACCAAGACTGGGCCTAATTTCTTATAATTTTGATGATTGCAGAACCTTGCTTTAACACACCAATACTTATATGCTAGATGATCAACCTTTTCTGATTGATTCCGCAACGTTTCTTTCACAATGCAATCACATGACCAGAACTGATCTTTATCTTTAAGGTCACTTGTTTCTATGCCTCTTTTCTGCTAAACCGTAGATCACTGGAGAGAATGAAGCAGCTATCCTGAGGTTGACAGAGCAAGCAAAGGTCTTAAAGGAAGAGATCAGACGATTAGAAAGAAACCAAGCCAGGGAAAATGCAATCTCAAACATGGAATACTTGAAAAATGTTGTACTCAAGGTGAGAACTGTTTAGAGTTACTTGTGGCGTGAGCCTGATTCGCCTCTGAGATTCCAATATTTAACAGAGTGTGTGACTTTAAAAAGAGCAGGCAAGTTGACTCAGACATTAGCATGTTCTGTCTTGAAAACCAAAGATATTGGCTTCAAATCCAAGCCAGGCATCCTGTGTTAACCCTAATAGACTGTAGTGTTATGAAAACCGTTTGGCAAACCCAAAATTTGGTTTCGATTTCCAATCATAAATATCTTGATAATCAGACAGGCGATCGGCTTGTAAAAGTCATGGAGTTACTGACTGACCTAAAGGTTTATAATTATCATTGCAGCATGAGCTAAATCAATGATTTTGTTTCAGAATCTGAGACAAAGATACCCAATCCCTTTAAATACGCACATACAGGAAGAAGAAGAAGAAAAAAGAGAGAAAAAATAAGTTTTAGGTGATTATTTATATATTACTTTCTTCTTCTCTTTGCATCAGTTTGTATCTCTTCCTCAAGGAGATGAGAAGGGGCGTCTTCTACCAGTGCTGAAGACCATGTTGAAACTCAGTGATACAGAGATCAAGCACTTAGCTACTATTGCCCAAGGTATATATTCAAATCTCATCATCTCAATTATGTGTTGTTTGTTTGGAGCCAGGAGGGCATTAACTCATACACAGTCAAACCTGTCTATGGAGGCTAATTGCAAACATGTTGTGAAATGAATACATAACACTATGTGAAAAGTATTATTGACCTATTTACCACTTCGTAAAAGGGGTAAATTATACAGATTCAGTGAGCTTTTATATATTTACAGTTTTGAGTATGCCATTAGCCTAAGGTTGTATTTTGTGTTTGTTTATTTACATTAAGCACATAGAGAGACTATAGTTTGATATGCACTATATAAATTAATCTGTACTATATCTACCTATTTAATTTGTTTCTCTCTCATTTTCATGTTCAGGTGATGATGCGACACAGAAGTCTGGATCCCCAGCTGGCTCCTATCTTCATCGATGGTCAGGTGGCCTCTTATAGGCACCATGAACACCATTAACCTTAAGAAGGGGGCAAATCTGTTATAGACATGTTTGACTGTTGAATCTCAATTTTAAAGTGCATTAGAAATATATCCACCAAGATGAATACCTTTATTTTACTTTGTGTCACATGAATTTGTATACTGTAATGATACGTGTTGAGATTTTATGATTGTGCCACTGGGCTTTCTGCTTTTAAATTTCATAGAAAGGTAAATAGTTGTGTTCATAACTTAAAGAACAAAATTACATGTATAGTTCTTCTACGTATCATCAAACTTCATTTGAATTATACATTATTTGTGTACATAGTGATAGTAATGGGGAATGATTTAATAAACAGAAGAAAAAACCTTCAGGTTTGTATTTTATATAGAGAGGTGTCGTGGTCGAGTGGATACGTCAACGGACTGTCGATCACAAGGTCCGCGGTTCGAGTCCCGTTGCGGCACTAATGTCCTTTGGCAAGACATTGATGTACATTTGCCACACTCAACCCAGGTGATGAAAATGGGTACCTGGCAGGAATTTATTCCTTGAAATGCTAGAGGGCCATATGGCAGCCGGGCTAAGGCCAGTGTCAAGTCTGACAGATATGTGCGCTATACAAGATAAGTTATTATTATGATACATAAAAATGTGTCTATGGATGTTAGCAATGAATTTTAACATGCATTCTCATTTGAAGCTATTGTTTCATGTAGCTAGATCTCCTCTACTAGTTCCGATGATCATGTGACATGTGAAGGGATAGATTGTAGACTTCTGATTTTTTTTTTATATCACATATTTATTTTGTGCAGTAAGTTATGCTTAATTGTGGTGTTTGTACATGTATGTATGTGCCTCTTGACTGTCCACGGTCCCATTTCATAAAACTTTTTATCTACCGGTATAACAAATGCTTAATTTCTATGATAAATTTGCTCTCGGCCAATCAGATGCCTTGTTTTCAGTAGCTTGTAACTTAATATTGATATCAAGTTTTATGAAACAGGGTCCTGGTGCTTCTTACTGTAAGAACCCAAGAATATTCCAATGAACCAAAGTTGCTATAGGCCACCACAAACAAACCTTACAACATTGACAGACAAAGATATTGAAATAAATGTAGAAGAAAAAAAAAATCTTCAGAACTGCAAATTTTTCCCAATTAACATCCCAAACTGTCATTTATAGTAATATCGAAACTGCAGTAAATTGTGAGCCTCCCAGTCAGAGATGATAGTGATATCACAAGACTGCTCTCACTGACTGTCAGTAGATCTGGTATATTATCTGAATGGAAACACTGACTGGTACATTTGCTTTTAATTTCAATGTTATGTTCAGTATTCTATGACACCAGGTATCATATTGAATGCAAGATTACCAGATATCTTTGACTCGCCCAAATGTCCTTAACAACCATGAATTTCAAAATAAAAAGCCTGCCTACATGTACATATCATAGGGGTGTTGGTTACAGTTCATGTTTGTATCATATTTATTACAATAATGACTTTGACATTCCGATACCAATTCCTATGTTGAGATTTTTTTGTTACATGAAAGTTTAAATTACAGGTTGTAGATTTGTTGTCGAAAGCAGGTGTTCTCTTTGACCAATTGTGAAGCAGTTGTTTCAGGGTTGGAGTAATGACCCTTGTTAGTAGAGGGTCATTTGCTTTACGATTTATTATAGAAGACTTATCAATATGTACATGCATGTATGTTCTCATGTGTTAAATAATATCGTTCAAGCAGCTAATATTTCACATTTTGTTTTCAGTTACACTTACTAAGAAGTGCCTGATTGATTAGGATGAAGTACAAGAACGCTTTATGAATAATTTAGTTAGCCAATAGTCCCTTGGTTAGAAGGTATAGAGTACAAAAGCTGTGATATCCTAAAAATCTATTTTCAGAATGTCTCAATTTTTTTCTTCATTTTCCGAAAGAGCATGAAAAATAATGACCAAATGTCGAAAACCAATGTAATATGTTAGGTATTGGCTGAGATATGACCATCTGAATAAATATTTCCTATAGAAACTCAGTGTTATATTGTTCTGGTTTTACTCTTGTGTACATGTAAATGTATTACCTTAAACATTAAAAAAAATATTTCAAATGACTCGTCCTAATTTCTCTAGATTTAAGAAACTTTCCCAGTGAAAAGGAGAACTATTTTTCTATCAATTTCTTTCTACTGAAATAAAAGACTCATGTGAAATGATATTGTTGATGTATTTCTTTGCTGTCTGTAGTGCGTGTTAGGGTGTGAACTATAGAAGGCCATCAAAAGGAATTAACAAAAATATAAATTGTAATCTAGTAAAATGAGAACTTGTCTAAAAAAAATTATATTTGAAAATTCCGATAGTTTAATCTTTTCAGTAAAAAGATGATTTCAATTAGAAAGGAGAATCCTTTAATGGCTTTTAATTCTTTGTGTATGTGTATCTTTAGTAATTCTTTGTAATGCTTTATTTTAAATGCCCAAATTACTTAAAAGTTTAGTATTGACTGTTTGTTTTCATGGGTAATATCGAATAGAAATTCCATTGTAATTCTTAATAGGTTAAATAGTAATTTATAAGAGAACCAAGCACAAGGGATACAGTGACACAAAGGCAGTGATTTTCAAGATTTTATTAGAAAAATATTCTCTGAACAAAATGAACTATTAGCCATGAACAGGATGATCTAATCAATCTACATGGGATGGGGCACAGTGGTTAAAAGACACGACTTGAAAATGTAATGTTCAGGGTTTGAACCAAGTAGCATGGGATGAGGCAAAGTGGTTAAAAGAGGGTACTTGAAACTGTAATGTTCAGGGTTTGAACCAAGAAACATTCCATACACTTTGGGGCTTCAATCTCCAGCATTGCATGACATATTATGACAATTGCTCCCCAGCCATTTTCTATCACTAGTATTCTAAACTTCAATTCTGGCCTTGACCTTAATCCTAGCCCAAACCATAAACAATCTAAAAATAAATTGTAACTCTAGCCTATATCTCTTACAAAATAAGAAATGAAATTTTGAAACACAAGGCAAAACTTAATCTTCACTTTTAACCCCTTGCCTACTGGAACTGAGTGGTGCCTGTATTAAGCCTATGGGAATGAGAATAGTCAGTAGGCAAAGGGTTGATAATAGGGACTTTTAGATTTGCGTGAATTGATACGTGGTACTTCCATTCAAGGCAGTGCTTTATAAGGACGTCGATCGTAGCATAGACCTATTGTCTTCGTGCGAATCTAAAAGTCCCTAATGTCCAGCTGCAGGACTTCCTTGGCAACGGAGCAATGATTGATTGACAGGTTGAACACACCCATCGCAGTTCTTCCTTACTCATTTATTTGAAACGGTAGAAGCCTGGAGCTTCACTGTGGCAATGTCGGATCCTTCTCTCAGATTCTTAACCTTCTCCTTAAATAGATGTAGTAACATAAGGGTGCAGTCTGACTTCTTTCATAAGGGTGCAGTCTGACTTCTTTCGTAAGGGTGCAATGATTGTATTTAGCTTTGTAGAAACAAGTCTAACGTCCCTTCTAGAGTTCTCCCATGATCTGAGGGTAGTATGTTCCATCTTGGAGGTTGCTTCCTGGTCTCATATAGATAGTCTGTATCAAGTATCACCCCCATCCTTCAATGTTCTCTTCCTAACATAGCAACGGGAGGAGAATATCCCAACAATGAGGGTAGCCTATCTGTTCATATCTTGATTTTGCACGCCTGAGCAGACATGATCCCTTCAACCAACCTCGGTTAGATGTCTTCAAAGTATGTTTCTGTTTGCTTACATCATGCAGTCCACTTCAGACACCTGCAGTGAAATAAAAGAGGGCACAGACAAAATGTATTATGAAGCAAGGTGAGCACATGTACTAGGGATATCAGCAATAAGAGTTGAGGGGCGGGGAATGCAAGAATGAATCATCAGTACCCTAACTCAACAATCTGAATTGATATTTCAGCTGCATGTTGATAATTATGAATACATATGAATAAATCTGTATTTGAGTATGACAATGTAAATAATCTATAATATTTTTAATAAGTTCTGCTTTATTAGAATTATCTTTTTAATACAAAGATTTTGAGGCCGAATTCGCCTCAGCTTTAAGGAACAATCATACAGGTTCAAGTCCAAGTAACTTTAAAATTTGGTTTAGACATACAAAATACCAACATTACTTCTAAAAATTCAAGGCCATAATTTTATCAAAATTATAATCATTTCATATGGAATAAATAGATCCACTCCTTCAATCTCAAGTAAGTGAATTCCTGCATCCTCCCTTTTCAACTGGAAGAGCCATTGTTTTTGTATACAAACAGAATCTTATTGCTTTTAAATTTGCATCTAGAGTTGTAGACAGTGTGCTTACCTGGTGTCCAAATGAGTCCCTAGACACTTAGTACAGCAGTATCGAGCTCCACAAGCCACACAGGTATAGTTAGATGGGAACGTGTGAAAAGTTAAGGAGAAATGCATAAAAAATACACAAGTACAGGAAGTAAAATACAATGCATCAATACTTCTACACAGCAGATAACGGTATGTTTCATAAGCATTCCACTGCAGGAACACTATATGTACTGATTGTACTTTACCTACATGTTTAACCTTTTTGTCCCTTGTGTGATAGCATTTACATTAGTACCAGATTACTGCTTTCTTTCGTTTATTTTCATCTTACTTACACAAAACATATTCTGATCCCCCCCCCCCCCCACCATGTTTTATTATTTTGCATTGCATCATCATGCAGGTGAATCAATTACGTAAGCCTCCCCGAAAAAATATTTTAAAAAATAAAATAATAATAATAATTTTAAAAAATAACAAGAAGAATAATAAATCAATCAATCAATCAATAAATAAATAAATAAAAAATACCCCCCCCCCCCAAAAAAAAAAAAACATTAAATTAAATTTTTAAATCCAACTGATATGGATGATGATTATCTAGGTTACATAATGGATGTAGCTTTCAAATGCCTAAAATGCAAGGATTTAAATGACATCAAATCAATTAAAGGATATCCACAGACAGCACAGAACTTCCTCTGCGGAGCTGGTGAGTGTGGCATACAGCAGGTCAAGTAGTTTGGAGGTTCATTCATACTCAGCTGTTCTTCCTCTACCAACATGTGAAATGTCTTTCTAAACCTCTGCTTGAAATGATCTCCTCTCTTCTTTCTCTTCTTAGTGGTAGGGGCTTCATAAGGACAAAGAAAGAAAACAGATTGCATGAGTTTGTAGCATCCCTGATTGGGGAAAAAAGGGGGGAACTTGTTTTCTGTGATTTCCAGGATAGCTGGTACCCTTGATTCTTCTTCTCTTCTTCCATTTTGAGTACATACCTCTTTACAGAGTACTTTACTATAACAGGGTGTGTGCAGGTGGACCACTACACCGGGGTTTCCCCCTACTCTTATACGAATAGTGCAGTGGGTTCTTAACATGCAAAGGAAGTGACTCTTCTCTACACGGGGCCTCCATTTAATGTCCTATCCGGAGTGTTTTCCATTTAACATAGCCTGCGTCTATGAACAAGGGGAGGGGCGCGTTAACACACAACGCAGGCTTCAGTCATCCGTCTGGGTGGGATTCGAACCTGGGATCTTTGGTTTGGCAGGCAGACGCTTTATCGACTGAGCCAACTCGCCTCTTCCATGATTGGTAGACGCAGACATACTTACTGTCTTCATTGGAATCAAACTGAGGAAGTTTCTTCTTGAGAAGGACCAGGTTTGCGTGAGGGTCTTCTTGAAAGTTGTCTTGTTCAAGGGCTTCTAGCTGTCGTCGTAATCGCTTGGCTCGGGTGAAGGAGTCAAGAACTCTCCTCTGAGCTAGCTCCTTCTGTCGACCTGTGGATAAGAAAAGATAGAGATTATACTTCACATCACTCCAGCAAAGCATAGAGTCAATGCTTATGCATATTGACCTCAAGCACTGCATACTTGCTGAGAGGCAGGTATTATACACAAATACACACACTATTGCATAGACTGCACACAATACTAGGAATGATTGGACTGATCAGCAAATTTGACACTAGACTTACAACTTCAATTTTTAAATTATTCTTTTTAACATCAGTAAGTTGAAGAAGTTGTATTTTACTGCTATTTAATTTAGGTGTCATCAATTGTAACTAAAGTACTGATTTTTAGTGAAATCAGTTGAGTTTTGTACAGTGGTGTTTGAAATGTTGAGAATCAAAAGCACAGCTTTTAATACACAGCCAGGGCAGCGTTTCTCGAAACCGTCATAAGAACAAGTTCACCGACATCCCATTGACATGCGTGTATTAAGTTTAACACGCGTTTCAGTGGGATGTCGGTGAACTTGTAGTTATGACGGTTTCGAGAAACGCTGCCCAGGTCATAGTGATGCTCCTAAGCTATGTGTGTGTGTGCAATATATTTTCACATGTTCAGGCAATAAACGACTTTTAACTCATGATCTTTATTTGGACATTTAATGAATATTTACTTCATGTTGGGTACGTTTTTAGTAGGGTGTCTCTACGCCGGAGTAACGGGTCAAATTTTAGATAGATCTAGCTAGGCATCTGATTCTGAACAAGGCTGAAGAATCACCCTTTTTCCCTTCGAAGACTTCTTCAAATTATAATTTCAAGTGGTTGGAAAGATGCCCAGACGAGTGGAAAAACATTGTAAGTCAAAATTGTAATTACTAGCTCTTTACATTGCGAAAAAAATGTAAACTAACACGCTGTTTGAATGAATCGTTTTCATAAACGGGGCTCTGGAGTCAGCTCCAAGAGTCCAATTAACAGGCAACAACAATTGTCCAACGCCTTCGGCATCGGCGTCGGAGCTCCCTGGAGTTTGGCCTGTACGTAGGACTAGGAGTAGTAAATAGCCCCGTACATAGCCTAATTGTTACTTATCGTAAAGAAAAATCCCAACAGATTCAGTTTTATTAAGACTATTAGGTTTTCTCTAGAGCCAAAAAGAATTTATTGGTTTCTTACCAGATTCCCTCGTTTGCTCTTTCGCCGGCATTTTCATGATTTCACACCAGTACCAGCCACACACAACACGGTCAAGATCAACACAATGTGTATAACTTGTCGAGAGAGGGCAGGTTACCATAAATTTTTCTCTGGCTGCTGAGTTTTCGTGGACCAGTGGATCTGAGATTATATTTAAAAAAGGAAAAGGAAGAAGGGGAAAAGGAAGAAGAAAAAGAAAAAAACATTAACAAAAACTTGAGATTTATGGAAAGTATGAATTTACAAATAGTAAACGAAAAAGAAAAAGAAAAAAAGTGAAAAGCGTAAACCATGCTAATTGCTAAAGCAAAACAACAACTTGCCCTCTTTTGCTGGGCACTCGCCCTCTCCCCTCTCTCATTTTTTCCAGCAAAACCCGTTTTTTTTTTTTGTTATTGTTTGTGAAAAGCAACGGAGAAAATAAAATATCATTGAAAAAAAGAAGAAAAAAAAATTATCATACATCTCAAGTGCACGAAGAGATGGAGCCCCCTCCCCTCGACGAAAACATACCGAAAGGCGTGCTTCCTGAAAAGTTTGTCGTTGTTTGGTATAGTTTGTATAAAGCTTTATAGATGTTCTAACTCGTTTCAATTAATATTTTGTTATTCTCTCTCTCTCTCTCTCTCTCTCTCTCTCTCTCTCTCTCTCTCTCTCTCTCTCTCTCTCTCTCTCTCTCTCTCTCACTGTGCATCACTTGACCTGTTAATGAGGGCATCAGTGGAAACTTTAGTGCCGGTAATGCAATAGGCCTAGGCTATTTTCGTATAATGTAACCAAATTTAATGCACTAGTCTTTGTGAAGTGCCTCAATACAAATTATTTCATTCACCTGATAAGAATAATAGTATTTCAAATTCAATAGACATAATCCGAACTGCATACATTATTGTTGCCAGGTAGGACAAACATTATGGCTTGACCTAATGACCTATATACCTAGCAATATGCAGTTTGCGTTCTGACTATTGAAATACTATTGTCAGTCTTATCAGGTGACTGAAATAATATATATTGAGGTACTTCACATATACTTATGCACTTAATTTGGTTACATTACGAAAATGGCCTATTGAAACAAAAAACAAAAGTCGAAACAACAAAATGGCTACATGTTAAGCGCCCTTCATGGGAGCATATACCTATTAATAATTTGAATTTTCTGCCATGATCACAAGATGATGGGGCGTTAATAAATTAGACTGGGCCATTATATGGGTCTAGTACAAGCATTGACATTGGCATTGACAGCATCACTCGTTATTGGATGATGATATAGGACTATACTATATCCTTTGTCAATACATGATACATTAACACTTCACCCAAGACAGTGAGGTAGGCCTAAACCTAAATGGTGATCCAATAAATGTCAACGGTTGATAATTTAATCCCTTGTTTCAAAGACTTCATCGACAAAAATAATGATCACAATCCTGGTTCAACAGTGAAATTAAATGTCCAACCCAGAGGCATGGCTCCCGTGGGCAAGGGGGGGGGGGGGGGGGGACTCAGTATATACCACCCCACTTTGTCAAAACTGCTCCTATTTACATGGGAAATGTACCTCTTTTACTTCAGATTAGGCCCTTTTTAGGTGCCCGTTCCACATTGTTATAGGCCTAAGTGCATGCCTCCCTTTTACTTTGACAAGAGCCTCATTTCCTTTGTATTAATAATAATTAATGTCCCCTTTCACCTCCAAGTGATAATTACCCTTTTTATTTTGACTCCTGCCCCCATTTCCTTTTTAATAAGTGCCCCCATTTCACCTCTGATAACTATCCTTATTAAAATCTGATGCGGCCCCTTTTTGATAAGTGTCCCCTTTCCCCTTTTACAGGAACGAGACGTTTCACCTCGGATAGTTGCCCTTTTAAATTTGATACGGATTATTTCTATTTTCTAATAAGTTAGTGTCCTTTCCCCCTGTGATAAGCGCCCCCTTTTCTTCCTCCATAAGACAGTGGGCCCCTAATTTAAAGCGACTATATAAGAACAACTTTGTTTTTTAATTCCCCAAAAGATCGCTTGTCCACATTATAGTTGATGTTATTTTGTAACTTATTAAAGGTCTTTTCGGTCTTTCATGATGAGATTCATCAGGATTTATATTTCCTCCTATATTACTATATATAATTATTGGTCGGAATGCGATCTCGCAAATATTCTTTTGTTGTATTATTAAACATAAACGTTATTTCTCGTAAATGTAGAAAATAAGTTTACACGAAACTGACAAACGAAACTTACACTGATAGTTCAAGATTATACAAATAAATGACATGTGCCAAACAATTTTGGTGAAAAATGTATAGTGGCTAATTAATGACCATAGAAAGATAAGGAAATCCGGGTAAGTACATGTTGGCCCGACATCATTATGGGAGTTGTGGTATTTATCGAAGATGATGCCCAGTATCTTTTTGTGAGTAATTTTTATTTTACTATAGTTCAAACAACCAAGCTACTGCAGAATAAATCATAGCAATTTCTCTCAAAAATACGATTCCGTACCAGGGCTCAAGATTTGCTTTATGGTAGAAGCTTGTCATTGTGTGATTTTTTTTTTGTTACTCTTCTGGCCTCAGGTTGAAAGAGACTGGGATGCCGGACCAGAGGGGATTAAGAAAAATAGAAAATGGTACAGAAAAATCAGAAGTAAAAAAGATATCATTATAAACAGCTAAGAGAATAAAAGAGAGAATGAGATATCATTATGAACACATGAGAGAATAAAAGAGAGAATGAGATATCAATAACAGAAATAAAGAGAGAAGAAGAAGAAGAAGAAGAAGAAGAAGAAGAAGAAGAAGAAGAAGAAGAAGAAGAAGAAGAAGAGGAGGAGGAAGAAGAAGAAGTTCAAGTTCAAGTTCAAGTTCACTTTATTCAATACTTTCATTAAAAATATACAAAGGAAAACAAACTTATAAAAGTTAAAATATAATACATGTATCAATATATAACATGAGAGTAACACAAGTGGAGAAGACCTGAGGAACAAGGGGAAAACTTCTAAACATGTACATTAATGAGTATTTGGAGACTAGACAGGAAGGCCGGGCCTTATGTAAAAGTCTGTCTCCAGTAATTGTATAAAAACTAAGTATATTATTTAAATTTCTTATTTGTTATTAAAGGAAGAAAAAAGGAAATAATTTGCATTCACATGGACTCTCTCCCACACACCAACACACTCTTTTCAGTCTGATGAACATTAAGAATAGAGGTTTTTGCACTTTTGAGTATTGGCCTACAGTTTAAATTTTCTTTTAAAACTATTGAGAAGAAGAAGATGAAGACGAAGAAGAAGAACCGAGAACTTGAAGTGGAGATGTGATCATGATGAGTGGAGGAAAAATAGTTGGAAATAAAGTAATAGGGCCTAAAAGAATAACCGCCGAAGAGAGAAAGCAACAAGATGCTAAGTAATAGATAAAAGAGAAACCTAGAGAAAAAGAACCAAAGAACACTAGAATAGTTTCTAGGCGTCGATGTTCATTTTGAGTCACTAGCGGACACGACCTTTATCCAGCCTTTGCTCAAAGAGGGAACTCCCTATATACCGCACCACGGCCACCATTGCATCGTAATGGTCTGCGGAAATCATTCTACCATTTCAGCTTCAATTTGGCAACTATATAGTGCATCCCATGAAAATGGCGGATGATATTGCATCGACGATCCGGAGAAAGCAGATAACAAATCAAACTGGAAGACCAATACTCTCGTAGAAGCTGTTGGTATTTTACCTCTGAACTTGTATACGAGATTTTGAGGTGCTATTCTGGATAAATACCTGCCATCAATAAGGGAATTTTGTGAGATAAACCTAACGACAAAGGATCCACGTCGAACATTTTTTGACTATTTTGTGCAGCCAATGAAGCAGCAGGACCAGTGACGCGTTGTGCAATCATTTCCTACGCTCATCCTCTGGCGTGCTGTGCTGGTGGTGCGGCCTGCGGTGGTGGTAGTACGGCACTGGTATACATGTACACACTCATGTGTGAACCTGCGTGTATCAGACATAAAATCTAACTAAATAACAAAGTCGAAGACTGTATTGTCACATGGAATATATAGAGCATCTTTATTATTGTCTGACAGCTACTACATGTACATGTACCTCAACAACTCGAACATTGAGATTCTGACTTCTGAGTCCTTGACTCCGATTGATTTGTCTGCATGTGCTGCTAAACCTGCGGTCAATTTAAATTTTTCTTCAACTTTGGATTTTTAAGTCTCATATCGCACTGTTCTTGTTTGCATATTGTGAAGAATAATAGACTGCATTTCAATCAATCGTTTACCAGTCCTCTGGAATATATTTGTGGATCTTATTCAAATCGAAGACAGTGACAATTTTAAGAGGTGCTTTGTGGACATCAGGGATGAAGGATATTTTCGACATTCGGTAGCAAAACATCAAGACATCAAAATGAGTAGCAGAAATGCACATCACAGTTTAACGAAGGTTAGTGTACTTACTCTCTAAGTTTTGTTCAAAAAAATGATGTAGACTAGAGTCTACATGAGGGTTAAAGGAAATTTTCAAATTTTAGAACGATATTTTCAAGAAAGTAAAGGCGAAGTATTAGTGTCAATTTGTAATTTTAGAAAGTTTGTATGGATTTTTTCATTGACTTCATGGAAATTTTGTTGAGGGAGCCCTCCACACACACTTTTTTTTGAGAAGTGACTTTGAGTTTAATTATCTGCTTTTCTTCTCTTTCTATGATTGCCATTTTGATTTACTAATTAATATTGTGAACTGAGAATGGATTTAGAAATTATTGAGATGAGCTTGTAACACAGCTGATTTATTTTATATCTATCATGTATACTACAGATATACAAATTTACATTTTATGCCTAGATTAGTTTCAATATTATTTCATGTTCATTGCTATGACAGTTTTTATTAATTACAGAATATATTTAATAGTGTAGTTTTTTATTTAAAAAAAAGAAGATTTTCATGATGATTGTTATACAGTATATTGAATTGAGAGTTTGCCAGTAGACTTACTTACTAGACTTACGTACTGTAGATGTAGAGTACATGTACAGCATACATTTACGGTACATGTACATGTACTGTACAACATGTATGCAGGGGTGGGGGAATGCAATCAAAGACTATTTAAATATTTGAATACCCTCCTGTTTTCAGGAAAATGATAATGAAAGAAACTAAGAAAGAATAAAAATAATGTAAGAACACTTAATTAAAGGACTCACTAAACATATTTGACCAATAGGTATGTACATGTACACTCACATGTACATGTAAGCCCCTGCATTTAGAAAAGTACATGTTTTCAATAGCTCTAGATTATGGTTCATGACCAATATTGGCTGATGTGTCCAAAATTATTTTGGATTACATGTACTTCCCCTTCTAGCAGTCCATAATTGTATGGGTTAATCAGTATCAGATGTGCATACTGGTACATGTAGGCTATACTTAATAGTTTGAACATATTTGTGGCTTACGGTACACATGTACATAGGCTACTGTAATTATTTGTTTCCTACTCTGCCTGATAAGGCATCCCATATAATGACTCGGACTTGGTATTTTGGATTTTCTCTCATGACAGATAATTAAGGAAAAATATCAGAGTGTTTTGGCAAGGATACCTTACAGAGATCCCTATTTCCTATTCATAATGAGATTTTAAGCTTGTTTACATTGTACAGTATACATGTACATGTATGTAATTTATATTCAGCACTTAATGTACACAATTAAATTATGTACATGTAATTTAAAGCAGTTGGTGCTTAGAATGTACATGAACATGTAGTTTTGTACACAAAGGTACAAGTAAAACAGGTGACAATTTTTGTATATACATGTACATGTAAGAGGAACTGCCATCATAATATGACCTGCTTTGATGCTTTCTGTTACTAATTCTAAAGAAATTTATTCCATTTGATAGTACTGCGTACCATGCCTTTGTTAAAAAAGAATGTAATGCACAAAGAATGTGCTAAATACCAGAACCCCAGTGAACCATGTATACAAGACTACAAGTAGTCAGGTACATAGTTATTTTTAAAAAGACACACAATAACTTTTTGATATTTAATTAAATTACACTAATATATGAGTACATGTACATGTACTAGTAAGGCCTACGTTTACAGTAGGCCAACATGCAGTACTGCATGATGCTTACATGTTTGTACATGTACATGTACATGTACATGTACATATACATGTACATGTACATACCAATATATAAATGTATCACATAGAAAACAACTATAATAAATAGGACAAGGAGTTGCTATTTCTTGCCAAAACACTGGTATAATTTAATAATTTCTGCTCGTTTTACAGAGACAACTGTTAAAACAATATGTACAACTAATTCAATCTACACAATATTTGATAATAATAACTGTCCTTGTTCACAGTCACTCTTTTTGGATTTTTATTTTCAGAGGCAACTTTCATGCTGTACAATACATGTACCGTACAGTACATGTACATTGTACATGTAGGCATAAAGACAAAGCCCTATTTATACAAGTAGTTCATTTTAGCTTCCCAGAGCTGCACTGCTCACCATTCCCTTGTACTTTTGTCCCCCCCCCCCCAACAAAACAAAAAAAATAAAAATGTCTACTGTAGAGTCTGACAATTGTACTCGTTTTTATGTCTGGTCAAATTGGTTGTTTTATTGAATGAGGAATCACCTGATGTTGTTGATTTCATGGTGATCATTTAATGACATTCATTGCATGACACTCATTGGGCGTTAACAGGTCTCATTAAGCTTCTGAACTCTTGTAGTCTTGTGCCAGACATTGATATGTCATGATAAATGCATTTTCAGAAATACAATTTGAAGGAAAAAAAGGTGTGTTGTTCCCTTGATTAACTGACTTTGATATACGTGTATCTACTGTTGAAGAAGCCTTCTTTAAAGAGGAGACATCTTCTTTTCCCAGCACATTCTTCAACACTTGGATTCTGCCATTTTGGGGGTGAAATTGCCAGTTTTGCCACCCATGGCACAAAAAACTGTTAAACAGTTGAGAAAACTCAGGCTTCTTAGCAGGAAATGGGTTTACCCCTGGCCCAAATATGTATGGTCTCACAGCATCTTTAAAGGGATCCGGTAACTTTGTCTCAGATTCTGAAATAAAATTCTGGATTTAGCTCATGATGCAATGATAATTATAAACCTTTAGGTCAGTCAGGAACCCCATGACTTTTACAAGCCGATCGCCTGTCTGATTATCAAGATATTTATGATTGGAATTACAAATTTTGAAAACCGTTCGCCTGACGGTTTTCATAACACTACAGTCTATTGGGGAAAATGAGTATGGTAAAACCGGTCACTCAAAGATTTTTACTTTTTTGAGGTACTTCTTGATCATTTTGAAGCGCAATTTTTTTAGGGCTTCAATATTACACCATATCATAGACACTGATAACACGTAGGGCCGTGTATCTCAGATTTAACGTTGTTAAACGATGCCTTTAATAGGAGCGTGACAAGGGGAAAACAAAAGCAATTTGCAGACCTGTCTAAAAGTACAGTATACATTACATGTATACTGTATGTAAAGGAGTTATATTTACAAGTTGAGGCGTACCTGGCAGGAATTGATTACACTTACATGTACATGTATATGCTTGAGTGCCATAATGGCAGCCAAGCTTTAAGCTGAGGTAATTGTGGAGAGCCAGGTGTGTGTAAACCGCCAACTCCAAGATCATGATTTCATGCTTACAGGTACATTGTACAGGTACATATTTGTGGAGAATAACTGGAAATTTATGATCACTCATGCTTGGTTGGAATGCCAGCGTTAGACTAGTTGGCATGAATTCAACACAACTATTTTACGCTGTGTATTTGTGTAGAGATAATGACACGCTAAATAGGGCCAGTACTGGTTACCTCCTAGGTCCAAAGTCCAAGTCTATAGTACAAGCACCTGACAATGAATAGTCTGCCATTGAGACCACTGGACACCCCGCCCCCAAAACAAGCAAACAATCAAGTTTGTGGTATCTGTACAGTATCATGTCACATCCACAACCTTCATAAGCCTCATATCACACTTCCCTGGTTACATACATTGTACATGTACAGTATGTACAGTATGTACAAATTTGAAGATGATTGTTTATCTACCTGCTATTAGAAAGCATGTGCTGTATATATAAAGTTGAAGCAGCCAGGGGACTGATGGCTTCAAGTCCTCTCCCCGGGTAATGAGGATTTAATGCCTTACCAAAGGGCAGGAGTTACAAGACCACTGCTCTACCACTGACCATCTTGAGCCACCTATTCAATGTGCAAAATCACTCTCAAACCACTGTGGAGTGTATGTTGAGCAATGGACAAAAACAACAACAGTTTCGTACAATATACTAGAGTCTGTTATAATAGGCTAATGTGTTACATCACAGATGCCTAGTCTGATATTTGATTGTCCCGGTATTCGTTTTTTGCCCCTCTCTGAACTATTCACCAACAGTGATGTTATTTTACATTCATTGTCATTTTTCTCTTGGCGAGGTCTCACAAATGGGGTTGCATGATACCGAATTCATTAACTCCCAAATTCAGAACTTTAATTTATATTTTTCACTTCATAGTGAGAGGCTCTGTCTGCTAATGATGTTTTTGAGGTACAAAAAGTCAAATACTATATAAGGTCAATTTACACAGCCCAAACACCATTTTGGAAATCATTGATTTTTGGACTGCAATTTATATTACTGGAAAAACCCATTAAAAAACATCAATGTTTGCTCCTTCCAGTTGTTGAGTAGTGCATGTACATGTACACGACTTGTCGCTGCTCTGCATACGATCTCACAGAAACGAGGAAAGTCACATGACGAAATACCAGAAGTTTTGAGAGCACGAAATCTGTGAAGTTTTGGCAGGTGTTTAAAACAAAATTCACAGATTTTGGCAGGTGTTGTTAACAAACACACCCAGGAGACCTGTGTATATTTGCGATTTCAGTTTTTTGTCATGTTTGCAGTTAGATGTACATGTACCAGTAGTTGCTTTGCCAAAATGAAACACCAGAAAATGAGAAAAATCAACAATTCTTGCTTGCAATGTACATGTATCCTCTATGATAACCTGATAGAAACATTAGTTCTTAACATGTACAAATGTACATGTACCGGTAGGTACAGTGTAGGTATTTGCTTTATCAATGGGGCAAAAAACAATAGGCCTACAGTACTACTGTACTGTACATGGACTGTAAACTACAAGTAACCTTGCTGAAGTTGCTGTCATCATGAGCATCTTTGTTTTCAAGAAAATATAAAAAATTAGACATTGTTTAAATTTTTTTTTTATCAGCAGGGTATAAGGTACATGTACATGTCCATGTACTGTACATACTGTATGGCCTATCTCCAAAGACACAATGCATTTCTTAGTGATTCAGTTATGTAACTTACTGTACATGTACATAAATATTGGGCGTACATTCAAAACAGAAGAGGAAGACAATAGAGAGGGATGAAGACAGAACAAATAAAGAACTCAAGAGGGCTCTGTTATCTGTACCTGCCCTTGGCAGAACAACCGAGATAGAAACAAAAGGGCTGTATTGAAAAAACTTGTAGCAACAGAAAGCTGTTTGCGCAAAAATTACTACCGGTACTGTTTGTTTTTAGGAATAAGCTTGTTAACATTGTTTATAACAATGACTACTGAACATGTACATGTAAATATTATTTTTTGCCTTCCAAGGTATCATTCTTTGTTGAAAATTGACAACAAGAAAGATGAGGCTATTACAAAAAAATATTATGTTTAGCGTCCCCGCCCGCTTCCGTTTTGGGGGCCCCTTTTTTAAAGTAAAAAACATGAATAACATTCTGCTAAAATTATCTATTTCTGATTTTACACACACACAGAAAAAAAATGCCGACGACCATCTTGAAAAATAGCCTGACTGTCAAGAAAAATGTACCGAGCGGCCATTTTGAGCGGTCATTTTGAAGATAAAAAAGAAGAAAAAAAAGGGCCTCCTCCTTCCTATTTTTCAAAAAGGCAGGACGCAAATCATGTTTTTTTGGTTTTATTTGGCCTAATTGATTTGTATCATACCCTGTGGCAGGCCTGTGCTATTATTTTCTTTCAAATAAGAGGAAAACTGAATTGTTTCACTCACCTTAGTTGAAGAAGCCTGTGAATCTAATCTCAGCTTGTTATGATCCCATGTTTACTGCACTTTCTATTACGTGATGATCGGTAATATGGGAAGCCTGCAATTAGGACCTTGTCTCCTTCCCCTGGCCCAATCAAGTCAAAACACCTCTTTTTCCCCCTCTCTGAAAGGTTTTCCTCTCTTCGTCTGGTGTCTCAACAAGGCCTACAGGCAGAGAGGGTTTCTCATGCTGTAAAATCATGTATCCTGTTATTCACAGCTCAAGTTCATGTACACAAAATTTGTTTTGAAACAAGTTTGAGTTCAGCCTTCTTATATGAAGGTTGTTTGTCAAGACCTACTGTACTGTACGTGGAAGGTGGTTTCGTCAATCTACCCGGGTCTATTCGCGTCATGTTAGGGAAAGTTCAGGCAGCCGGCCTTTACCTGTCATGAACTGTGCGAGAGGGAGGGGGGGCAAGAGACCTGGCTGCAGGAGATAATGACACAAGCTATTGGGAGGGGGACATGCGCAAAGTGATCTTGACTTAGTCACCGTCACGCAACCGCTTAAGATTTAGGATAGAGTCAGTTAAACTAATCAGAGACTTAGCCAAGGGAGTAGCAATTTTATGTTAATGAGATCATGAGGATCGTCAACGAGCAAGGGGGATCAACCTTTTTTTTCTGATAGATCATCGTGCAAATAGTTTAGTTTGTTTGGACCATTCATTCTGAGCCATGATTGAAAGTCAGGAATAGACAGGGCTGCTCTGTCTCTCGGTTGAATGATTTGCTGCTGATTTTCTGACAGATTTACCCAGTGTGTGTGCCTGCATATTCTTGGCCTTTGTCGACTTGGCCAGGGCCAGGGATAAATCCACCTTGTTTGTGTATAGGTTTTGGAAACCACTTGTAGCAAGTTACTTTGGTTAGGGTATGTGATTTGCAGTGAGCAGAGAGGATTTGAAAAGGAATAATATGTGAAAAGAGTAATTGTTTGGGACTATTGATTGTTGACGACCAGGATTTTGTCTCTCAACTCCCCCTTTTCAAAAGTTTTCTTGAAAGTGTTATAGAGAAGAGGGATTTTCTCTTACACTGTAGTTCTGCCCTAGATAAGCACCAAACTCCTTGCATAAACTTGCATAGCTTCATACAGGGTGGATCTTACTAGCTGACTGTACATGTCCTGTTACATGTTTTTGGCGTTGATGATTTGATTGTTGACAGAGCGTCAAAATTGTGATTTTTGTTGCTCTGAATCAGTGGCGCATGGAGTTTTACTCATGATCTTGGATTTAATATTCTTTGGATATACTCAAAACCTTGGATTTAATGTGAATCTAGATTGCCATGAGGAGTTATGTTGTGATGAGGATAGTGCAATAACAGACAGACAACTGTATTCAGGATCAGTTTGATAGAACTTTTGTGCAATATTGTACTTGTAGATCTGTACATGTCTATATTACGTACATGTCTATGGATTTCACTTGTTCTCTGCAAGTTTATAATATGAAGGATGTCAAACTTTTTATAGCAGTTTGATAGACCTTACTTAGAGTTCACTTCTCTGTAGTCGTGGTTAAATTTGTGAATTTCGATGCACAAGCGTTACAGCGCCCTCTGTTGTTCAGTGGGCATTGATTCGTTGCGGATCAAGGAGAATGAGAAACCATCTAATACACTGCCGTGGGATCGCAATGGCCATTCAAAATCAAGGCAACAGGTATTGCAGTTTGTAGCAGGCCTGATAATTAACCGATTTAAATCGGTTTTCTAATTTTTTTTCCTGATTTTTGTTTTTTCCTGATTTTATCCAGATTTTTACCTTATTTATCTTTATTCCGTATTTTTCCTATTGTTCCCAATTTTCTTATTCAGAAGGGGGGGGGGATGTTGTTAGATACCTTCCCCCCCCCCCAAAAAAAAAAAAAATTCTCTTCTTTTTTTTTTACTCGAGGGGGGGGGGGGGGGGTGTGGTGTAGCCAGAGGTCAGAGTTCTTTAAAAACTTTACTTTGTATATCAGTGAGGAAAAAAGAAGACAGCATAAAGCTCTTTAAAAACTATGATAAAATAACAGATGCATGAAGGTGATTTCGGTCAGTGTTTTGTAGAGTACAATTTGTCAAGTTCAATTTGGTTTTAAAGTAGACCTTTTACCACATAGAACCTTGTCTAGAAAACATTACAGTTCTCGCTTGTCTTTACATGTGTGTGAGTGCTTAGAGAAAGTCCATGAAATTGTGTACATTTACATACATGTAATTATTTTATCAACTTTTATTATTTTTATCCTTTTTCATTTGTACCTCCTTAGAATATGAAGGCGGACCCAGAGAAGCTCTACACGAAGCTAGAGCGTATCGGCAAGGGTTCCTTCGGCGAGGTCTACAAGGGCATAGACAACATCTGCAAGGAGATCGTAGCCATCAAGATCATTGATCTAGAGGAGGCTGAAGATGAGATTGAAGACATTCAGCAAGAGATCACCGTCCTCAGTCAATGTGATTCGATTTATGTCACAAAGTACCATGGCTCATACCTCAAGGTAAGTCCAACACATTTTGGTGATATGTTTTTGAAAGCTTTTTTTATATGATGATTGTATTTTTGATGTAAACTTGCATTTTTAGTTTTTGACAAGTCTTCAATAAAACCTCATTTGAATTGAATTGAATTTGCTCCTGCAACAATTGCTTCAGGTGTAATTTCATCATTACAAACTATATTGTACATGTACAGTTTAGAGTTGTAAATTGGCTTTGGATTATGTTTAGGGTTAGGGTAAGTGTTAGGGTTATCAATACCAATATCAGGGGAAAAAATACTTTATAAATTTCGGGGGCTACTTTTCAAGCTTGCTTGCATGAAAATAACACTCTTTATTTTGTTTTGCATTGAACTCTATGCAATTTTGAGGGGCTCTTTTATGACTTTCAGGGTATTTTTAGCATTTTGGGGGCTAATTAGCCCTGAGCACCCGTGTATTTTTTTCACTGATCTAAATGTAATTGATCTAGAGGAAGCTGAAGAGGAGATTGAAGACATATAGCAAGAGATAACTATCCTGACTCAATGAGATTCAGTTATACACATATAATGTAAGCCCAGCTGATTTCACTGTTGACATAGGTCGACACATGAACATGTGTTTGTATAGTGTACCAATTATTGATAATGATATGATAGTAAAATACCCGAGTCATAACACATTTGATAAAGCTTTAGCTGGACTGCCTTGCACCAATCAAACTGCCATTCACCAATGAATAGAACTTGTAGAAACATACATCCATTTTAATATAGACTTTGCAAAATATTTTGTCCATTTCTAAACAAATGGAATGAGCAAATAAAATCTCCCTCTTGACACTACTTGTAGGTGAATAGAAATCTCATGCCACTATTTATTCACTGATGAAGGATATTAGTCATGTTCATATTTCAATTAGTCTATAATATATTGATAAGTTCCTGTTTTTAAGAGTCAGTCAGTGAATACTTGTGAACATTTTTCTTCTCAAACGAAACATGGTCATGTTTGCGATTGCGACACATGGGCGAATGGGGAATCATTTCTGTGCCTGCCTACGTGACTGCCAAACGCTTGTAACAGAGGCTTCTATGATATGTTCACGTAATGAAATATGAATGCACAAAGTACAGGTACATCAATGAAATGGGCTTACTTCAAATCATCAGATTATCCATCAGGTCAGGTAGTCACATTATCTAACCTTTTGTGAAAACATTTTTTATTCACAAAATGTCAGGGGAATGTTTGTGAAACAACCCCTCCCATCTACATTTACCAATGGACAGGCCCAATTTACCCTACTCTTTGTGAAATCCCTACGGCAAATCTACGAAAGGTTGCATGATCTTCCGTTTCCGTTTCCCGAAAGGTCGTGTATGGCGACCACCCGACCGGACGGGATTATTTGAAGTAAGCCATGAAATGTCATCCACCATCCCTGCTGGGCCTATTCATGTACATGTATGTCCATGATTGGAACTCCTATGGTGTGATGTAGAGCAACAGATACATGACAGTCTCTTAAAGATAAAGACCAATTCTGGTCATGCGATTTCATTGTGAAAGAAACGTTGTGGAATCGATCAGAAAAGGTTGATCATCTAGCACATAAAGTATTGGTGTGTACTGCAAGGTTCTGGGATCATCAAAATGACAAGCACTGTACACAGAAAGATGTACACATGAATATGTGACTACTATGACACATGCGTTATATCTATCAGGTCCAAATAGATATAATAATTTACCAAATATATCAATTAGTAGGCGGTTTTTTGGCAAAATTTGTATCGCGTATTATTCAAAACATATTCTTTCACATGATTGGTAATAAGAGCTTCCATTTCATTTTTTGAAAGGGGGGCGTTTCCAAAAGGCCTGTCCTCATCAGCTCGAGATTGCCAAATATCCCGCTATTTTCGGAACTCGGGATATTATCCTGATGCTCAAAATCGCATCTTCACCAAACCGATAGCCTACACTCATCACAAACTAGCTAGAAAAATAATCTTGAGATTGATGCATGCACACTTCAGAGACCGACTGTACGACCAGAATGCAGATTTAAGATTTTACCCGCGCTGTAAGACGTAAACAAGAATCGGCTGTGCATGCATGCAGCATGGGTTAGAGCATGTGCTACAAGCTAGTTTATTTTCAAACATGGAAAACGGAAATTGTTGTGCATGATGGGATCTGGACATTTGACTCCGTATTTCAGTCTGATGAAGACGGCGCAAACTATCCCGCTATTTGGGAAATAGTGGGATATTTTGCAAACTAGACCAAGCTTTCTGGGGATAGTATCCCGACCAAGTATCCCGCTAATTGCTATTTCGGGCTGATGGAGACGCAAATTAGCTGGATAATTTGCGATCGGGATAGTTCAAATAGCGGGATATTTGGCAATCTGGAGCTGATGAGGACAGGTGTAAAGAGTCTGTGTTTTGAGACTATCGTATGAGTCTGATTGTGGAAGTCATATATGCCTCAGACAGGAAGAGTAGACCTCAGCAGACTTGAGAGAATTTGTCAAGTCCATTCAGATGTATACTTGATTGAAACTCATCCCAGACTGACTAGACCCAGCCAGACAACCAGCTGTGCCCATTTCAAGAAGCAGTTTAGTTTGCCCCTTGATACATACTGTAGTACAGTAGAGTACAGTGTATGTGTTGCAGAGTAGTTTGTCCAGGCAGGCTAGTCTGCAGATTCATACTTGATATAAATATACTTGAACGTCATTCCATGAATTCTTGAGGCTAACCTAACCTGACGGTCTCTGGCAGTATCAAACCAGAGTACAAAGCCTATGGTATACTGTCTACATGTATGTATAGTCTCACAGTTCAGCCTCGTGTTATGCATAACAACTGACAAGGGTATGTTCCTGCAAACTGGACTTAACCATACCAAGGAGTGACTAGACTCTCCTAGTGACTCCTTGCCCCCCCCCCCCTCAGTGTTATTTAAGGTACGCATATGCATGTTTCCAGCAACCCCCCCCCCCTTTTTCAGCAAAAGTCCTGTGTGTAAAGTCAATTTGGGTAGACCTTTTTCTTTTGTTACGAGCTGGAGAATTAGCCCCCGAAAGTCATAAAAGAGCCAAAAAAAATTTGCATAGAGTTCAATGCAAAACAAATTAAAGAATATTATTTTCATGCAATTTTTCCCCCTGATTTTTAGTGTCAAGTGCTGCTTTCTTCAAATTTCTAATCTTATTTCTGATATTTTTCCTGTTTTGATCAATATTGGTTGCAACTCTGCATGGTTCCTGCAGCGTTTTTAGAAATATAATCCCCTAATACAGGAGTATGTACGATGCTGCCGATGCAATAAACTACTTTTTTACTACATGGATGTCCCATTTGCAGGCCAAACATTTAAAAAGGTTATATTCCAATGGCATTTAAAAGAGTTATTAGTTTCTATTTTCCCTGCAGTGGTTTACATGTACTGCATCACGTGTAAACGAACCTTGGATAGATTCATTTATAACGTTAGTGCCATTATCCATCAGTAGGATAGCTATTGTTAACAAAGAGCATGCAGTCTTTAATGTCTGGCTAGCCAGGAGTAATTGAATTTGTATTTGAATTTTGATACCGGCCTTCACGTTTCTGAAACCTTGCACGATACGAGAGGGGTTGCTGATTTGATGACTCACGAGGCACTCACAGATTTAAGGATGGGCAGTCTTGACATCTTGCCAGAGCCGAGAGTGAGAAGGAAAAAAAGGGCTAGAAATAAAATCTTACTTTTACTTGTAGTTTTAAAAATAGAACCATTTTGGTTAGCAATTTCACATTATTAGATCAGTCGGGGGTGCCCTTCAATTATGTGTTTGAGATCTCTTTCTCTGCATTCATGAGTCATGCACCAAGCTTGGTGCTCTAGCTGAAAGTCAAGGGCTGCTTATGGTGCATAGACCTGTGGGTGTTTGTATACAGACACAGTGGGTAAGCAGGCAGAATAGCAGTGAGAAAAAAATACACGGGGGCTCAGGCGAAGTAAATAATAATAATAATAATACATAACATTTATTAGGCGCTTAATACTGATGTTTCTAAGCGCACAGTGTTCTGATTAAGAGAAGACTATAACCCGTAGAATTAAATTAGAAGAAAAAGCAAAAATACAAAAGTAACATAGATAAGGTAAGAAAAACAGTGGCAATCAACTAAATAAAGACAAATAGCCCCCGAAATGCCCAAATGAGCCCCCGAAGCCATAAAATCGGGTAAACGAAACCATCAAATTCAAAACAGAAAGTGCCATGGACGGTCAAATACCAGACAGTTAAACATTTGATCACAGCACTACTCTGTACAAAGGTCCTGGGAAATGGGATTGTAGTTGTACATGTACTGTACATGTGCATGTACAAATGTAGGTGCTGCTTCAATATCCTGTTGTTTTATGACATGTACAGTACGTACAATGTAGCATGTATTCCAACCAAACATTAAAAAGAGCATGATATACATTGTAGGTTCTTGTTGTTCTGCAAGCCTTCAGCCCAGAATGGACGTAACTCAGTGATTACTTTGCACTCCATTGCATCTTGCACTTGCTGCTAGCCTGAAAAGAAATCAATCAGTGGTTAATAATTGATGTTTGCATTTCAAATAATTGCCCATTTGTGGTGAAAGTTGCTTATGAAAAGAGATTTGTATTAATAATGGCATATCATTGCCTGGAGGTATTACTGTAAGAAACAAATCTCAGTGCCATATCAGCGCTAGACTACAAGTCTGAAAATTAGCTCTGGTATACAAAATAGTTTATACACCAATATTTGTTTAAAGAGAAGGTTGAGTTCTGGGAAGAGGTGAAAAATAATTTGTGAGAGTTATCATTCTTATTATGCAAGTGTGGAAGAACATCAGATAAGACATGTTCCCTGAAAAGCATGGCTCTTCAAATGCCTTCATATTCTCCATATGTCATGTAACATCGTAAAAATCCAGGGTAGGATTTTTATGCCACGTGTTCGTGTAGTCCCATATACA